AAGGTGGTAATGGCTTTTGTACCTAGAAGAGTCCAAACTGTTCCGATCTAGCCATGTTTTTGCCAATGGCATCGATTCCAAAATTTTAGAACTACCTCCATCCAGGAGGTCTTGTAGAATTTTTGACCACAAAACCACTTGTCTTCCCTCTTTCTATTTGTCAGCTAGAAATGTCTTGTCCAATCTTGTTCCTCGGTTCCCCTTCTTATGACCTTTCTATTCCTCCACCATCTTCCAGCTTTTGGGTAAGCCTGCCTTCCCACTTATACCAATGATAGCTTGCTAACCAAATGGTTATTATGCTGACCAATATGTGGCCAAGGGAGAATATTATGTGCTTTTATGTTGGTTGCTATGTGCCTTTAACTCATCTTTGACTTCGGGTGACCCTATGAGCAAAAGCCCTCCAAGATGGCCTGTCCTTCACAGCCCCGCTCAGTCCTTGTAAACTCAAGGCTGTGGCTTTCTTCATGGAATTGACCCACCTCATGTTTGGTTTTCATCTTCTTTTGCCTTCACCCTCTTTGCTGAAAACCATCTTCCCACACCCATTGGTCATACTGGTGGGGGATGGAAGCTTCAAGTCCAACGCATGTGGAGGGTGCCAGCTTGGGAAGAACTGACTTAAAAGGACATCACTGGAGATAATTGTACATTAATCCAGGTAAGGGACAGCTGCTGTCTCCATAAATTTTGAAGCAGCATTCAGTAGATACTCTAAATTTAGAAGCCCATCAACCCCAACAGCTCACATTTGCTAAGAACAATAGTTCAAGAAAGGCTCCTGAGCAGCTGCAGGCTCAGTGGATTGAGAGTTAATTGGCCTATTTATTGCAGATAATTATGCATATTATTACATTTGGAGGAGCAACCCTTTTATGGCTGCTGTGCAGTTTTACAGTCCTTCAGGTTGATTGTAGGGTTCTTCTTATGGGAAACGCAGGCAGATGCACAGAGAGAGATCTGTGTGAAATAATTATGCATAGGCCTGTGGTATCTGATGTTCTTCCAGCCAGCCTCAAGAGACCAAGAAGAGCAGACTCATAAAGAGCTCTTACTTCTGATATAACTCTTGACTGCTATCTAAGTACACCTGCTTTGGGAAAAAGGACAGTAGGTAATTTAAATGAGAGTCTCAAAGAGGGTATTTCTAGTTACGTATTTCTCTCTTATAGCAGATTTTTAATCCACCATTCCTCCACTGAGTTCAGGATGGTATATAGCATTCTTGTCCTCACAACAACCCTGTGAAAGGTAATGGTTGTATTCAGACAACAAAACAAGCCATGTTTTGTTTAGTTTTGTTTTTTACCATTGTTGATCTGTTGTACTGTCTGAGCCGAGTTGTGATATTTTACCATGGTAAATTTAGAAACAATAAGAAACAACAGTTAGCTCTATGGTTTCTCTGTTTCACCATGGCATGCCATGTCATCTAAATCCAAGATCATATTTTCCATGGTTCTGGTATGCAACTGCCACAGAGTACTTTGGAAAGAGTGGCATCTACACAAGCCACTCCAGCCTTCTAGCCTCTATGTGCTGGCCAATGAGGAAGAAGCAGTTTACATAAGGAGTGGTGCATCTTAGTGTTGAATTTCAGGTGCAGTGACTTATGGGATACATGTCAACAGCAGTAAGAATGATCAGGGAGGAGGGGAACACTTGATCATCTGCCAGATACATTGTGGTAAAAACCAGGATAACCATAGAGGGTGGTGCTTGTTATGATGTGTAAACCCAGCCAATGACTGGCCCAACATTCCCTCGTGAACTTCACAGCTGAGTCAGCCTTTGAACCTAGGTCTCCCCAGCCCTAGTTGGACAACATATAACCATGATACCACACTGACTTCAAAACAGACCATGAGGTAAGGTGGGGTGGGGTAGTTTGTAAAGCAAGACCCAAACCTATGTGGATTCCCCCTGCTGTCCAAACACATACCTAGTCTGATGCACTAACTTGACATCTATGAACATTTATGCAAGAATAAATGAGTTTGCCACAGGAGTCTTTGTTGCTTTTGCTGATGCAAACCAACATGACTACTCCTCCTGAAGGAACTACGACACTGCATGCGTTTCCATACTGAGATACTGCAGTCCAGAGTGCTTATTCATACCCTATTACTTATGGAAACTGAATACATTATACAATCCCTCCACAGAAGAAAATTTCTTCTAATGCTAATCACTGAAACAGAATATGCCAAAACATAGCAAACACGCAGCAGTGGAAATATAGGCTACAATGTGAAATATCTATAGGAGGACTTCCTCGAAAAGCAATATAAAATACATGGATGACAACGTATATCACACACGCAGCTCCAGAGCCTCATTGTTCACACATTAATTCAACATGGAAGTGACTCCGTGGAAACACATTATTTGTCTCTGAGCTGCCCATTTCTATTTGTCCTTTTTTGGTTTTTCATTTTAACTCCGCCACTGCGGCAAAATGTTAAGTTGGCATGTATCTCCAAAGCTGTAAAATTCTAGCTCTACCAATGCAATAACTTATTGCACAAATGAGGCTTCCATTCCCCCTTCAATCTAATTTACTAGGGATAACTGAATTATAGGGAAAGGTTGTATTTGGATGTTCCTAAATTGTAGGGCTGGAGCAAAAAAGTTAGCTGTGCCAGCCAATTGTGTCTACGCAGAATTAAGCTTTAGTGCATGCCATGGACCCCGAGAGCCTGATGGGCAGATGTGTGAGTGCTGGACCTGCAGCAGAGAGAGCTGGGTTCAAATCCCAGGGTCCAGAAGACACATGGTGCAAGTAACCCTCTGCACCTGCTCTGCAACCACAAGGTTCCCCTCCAAGCGGATCCAGCTAAGTTTGGAAGACTGCAGAGGTCCCCAACCTTTTTCAGACCTACAGACACGTTTGAGATTCTGAATCAGGCAGCACCTCAAGGCAATCCTCATGGAAGATGTAGCTGTTCAGGTAATGGCTACCATGGGGGCCTGGGGAGCCAAAGGTGAGCTAGTTAGTGATGGGAGAGACAGCTAACGAGCTTAGAGGCGGGGAGGGAAGGAGGGAGAGAAACAGCAGGAGGGAGAAAAAGAGGTGGAGGAGGAAAATACTGAGGCAAAGGGGTAGAAGAGAGAGAAAGGGCCAGGCTAGAGGCTGGGAAGGGGGAGGAGGATGACAGCCAAGCTGGGAGGAAAAAGTGGGGCAGAAAAAGAGCAATGCTAGAGTAGGAGGGGGAGAACAATGAGCTAAAGAAGTGGAAGAGAGTAATACCAAGGGCAAAGGGGTGGATGGGAGGAAAAGGACAAGGCTGTGGCTGGGAGCAAGGCAAAGGGGTAGTTTCCCAAGACAAACAAGGCTGCCATAGCATTTTCCAATGGATGAATTAAAATATTCATACGTTTTGAAGGGATAGGGAAGTGAGAGATTTGTGGGCTCTGCAGGAGGCCCCTCGCAGTGCAGAGCGGTGTTGTCCATGTCACTAGGCCTGGGCTTCCACTTTAGGTTGCAGTCTGAACAGTGCTGAACCCCACCTCTGCCCTCAGCACCATGGATAGAGCCTTTAAAGGCTAGGCTACAACCTGAAGTCCACGCACTGCCCCACTCACACTGGAGTCACCACCTTCCAGTGGTTCCCTGTGGGTACCATGTTGGGGACCCATGGCCAAGCCATAGAATCATAGAATAGTAGAGTTGGAAGGTGCCATGAAGGCCAGCGGGTCCAACCGCCATGTTTTTATACAAGACTGGATGAACTGAATGTCTGACATGGTGTCAGGCATCTTTCAACCTTCCTTGCTGAAGCACAGCAGATATGGGTCTGATAAACATCTGGATGGAAAACTGCCCATGAATCCCATATTTGAAGCTGCAAGTTCCACAAATGGAAAGGAAGCAAAATACAAATAAGAAACTACACAGGTACCATGTGAGTTGTTTTAACTTGAATGGGTCACAATTCTCAGTCCATCCAATGTTACAGATCATTCTAAGAATACAAAATAAGGTACCCTATCCAGAACTTCCAGTAGGAAATGATGGGATGTTGCTATAAGGGGGAAAAGGATGGAAAGAAAAGTAACCATGGATTGGTCCCAAACAACTTCCTTATTTGTTCTAAAGTAAATAAAAGGCATTTCAGTGAACTGAAATAGGTGTCAGATTTTTAGAGAATGCCTCTGAGAGAAACTTGTTTCTTAAACAGGAAGGGAAGGCAAAGCAGCTTGGTTAAGAAGTTGCTAGCACTTTTGGGTCAATGGGTATATTGAGAATTTCGAAAGAATGCTGTGGGCACTTCCATAAGATAGTTGCCTGACCCATTTATAAAATGTCCACTAACACTGACAAGGCTAGTGAGACCAGAAGAAAAAGAATTTGACCAACAATGTAAGGAGAAGGCAGAGATGGGGGCTGAACTCCCAGACACTCTTTTGAACCAAAGAAACATTGTTCTGGGGGGCAACACTTGGCTTGGCAGCATGCCCACCTCTGAGTTAAAAACTCTTAAGAACCTTAAGAAAATACAAATCAGGAGAGGCGAGGAACCCTGAGGGTGCCAATATGGGCAGTTGTAAAACTGATGACCACAAGATGTTTGAGACCCCAGACTAGTTCATATAACATGGCAAATGCTGAAGAGCTTCTATTGCTCAATTAGAAGAGCCCATAGATGTGAATGGGAACATCCACAGGGTGGTTTCCTCTATATGAAGGCAACAGTTCTCACAAAACAGCCACCATGTGACCAGGCTGCTTAAAAGTAGACCAGCTTTAAACAGTTGCGGCTAATCTCTTGCAAGACAGCAGAAATATTGCTCAGTACAACAGAGCAATTCTGACATGTAGGTTAAAGCTGGATGGAAGCAGACTGCTTAAAACCCATGAAAAGGCCTCAGTAGTTTCAACTTTTTTTTATTGTAAAACCCAGATTGCTTCAATTAATTTTCTCAACAATTTCAAAGCCTGGCAACTGCTTCTAAGTTGTTTCTGTCTAGCACATACTTGAAGAATAAAAGCAACATAAAGAGAATACAAATTTTATTTTCCAAATTCATCAAAAAAATTCCTTCTACACAAAACTTTCTTTGTGCCCATAATTTGCAAAGGTCAAACAAAAATTAAAAGGTCAATGTATGAACAATAGGGTGAATCCTTCAAGTTTTATAAAAAAAAATGTCAGTCCACTTCTTGCGGATGTAGGATTTAAAATAATGGAGGATAATAAAATCAGTTTACAAAGTTAGGGAAGAAAAGAATTGGGAGGATTAAGTCATCCTTTTAAAAATGTCAATTCCAACTTTAGCACATCTGGAAATTCCTAAAGAGGCCAATATGCATTTTCAGTGTCCTTATTTGTGAGAAGTACCAGTATCTGAAAAATTAGGGGTAGAGGGGAAGAGGCAGGAGGGAAAGAGTTAGGAGATCCCCACTGCAGCTAGTAAGTTGGTCACTGATGCATACGGATGGGACCACAAAGCTGGAAATGCTTTGAAACAAACACCAGCCTGAGAACCCTAGTTATGGCCAAAAAGCGGCAAAATTACAGCAGAGGGGCATAATTTGCAGTGGAGAAACTGCAAAGGTGTGTGTGACCCCATCCCCCTTTGCACTTTCCCCCTAGATCCCCCTCCCTCCAGTCACCTTTTCCTACAATGCAAAGATCTGTGCCGGGAGCCCCAGTTGCCTGGGGCAGAAGTGGGAGGTGAGGAGGGAAATTCTAAGTGCAAACTGTGGATCGCTCCTGCCATTTTGCAGTCGTTAGTCAACAATCAGGCTTTCCAGCCACCGCTGCAAATGCAAGCCTGTGCAGGTCTGTAGGCACATTATAAACACAATTCCCCTGGGGTTGCACTCAAGTCTCACTGCAGTATTGGACCTTTGCTGTATAGTTTCCTATTTGTTTGGAAGGGCTTCTGTGAAGGAACGTAAGTAGATTGTGGCTGAAAGCCTCTGCTTGGCATCTGTCCACAAGATAAGCTTCAGCTAGAAAGCTGTATGCTCTTCCATTTTAGAAAAGTTTCCCCCAACGGTATGAAAACTCTGGCTGGGTAATGACTACATGAAAGCTGCTGGTTAACTTGCAAGCTAAAAAGCTCTTCCACATTCTTCCAGAGCAGCTGCCCATAGCGTGGTTAGAGTTCAGTCCCCATCAGAGATCAACCACCCCAAGATCTCTTTGACAAACAAGACAAAGATGAACAGCCAAGCATACTTGATACCTACACTGGCCAGCTGCACTGATTCAGGTGCATGTGCTGCAGTCCAACTACATTAAACTGCATTGGACTCGAAGCACATACAAACTGAGAAATGCCAGCACCTGTCCATCTTTTTGCAAGGGCAGGGGGCAAGAACCAAAGCCAACTCCTGTTATAGAGTAACCCGCCGCATGTCCTGGGCTGGTGGATCCACCTTAATTGGCTCTTGGGATCAATACAGGTCTTCCTGTATATCCACTTGAATTGTAGCATCAGCATGGCTGTTCAGGAGCAATGCAGAAGGGCAATCCAGAAATGGAAGGGCCTGATACAACTGGAAGGTTGGTCATGCTTGTAATTTCCTTGGATGAGGTCACCAAAACGGGAACATTATTTTATCAGATACCAAAGAAGTGTTTGACACGTACACACTCACTTGAACTCGGGTTGATGGGATGTTTTCAGTCCTTTAAGTGTCCCCTTTGTATGCAACCAAGCTATAAAAGTTTATGAATTGAACAAGCACGTAAGTCGGTTTGGTCAACCAATCTTCCTTCTTCTTCAGCATGGGTTGCTTGGCAGAGACCCAGCCAATGATTTACTATGCACATGTGGCAGTAATATGGTTATGTAAGGACTCTTTTAACCATCAAATAGCCCATAATGTACATCCTGGTGCAATCCCCAATCATGGGCTTTTAATCAAAATGGTGACTGTACCCACCACAGCTTATCCTGGGTTACAGCAAGTGTTATTTAACCCATGATGAGCCAAGTGCAAACTGGCCCTATTTTTCTGTATGTCCATAACAAGCCATGAATTAAATAAACCACAGGCTGTTCGGCATGTGTGGCAGAGAGTATGTGTGCTGCCTACAGCACATCTGTCTCTTCCACTTTTACTCCACTCTATACAATCAGCTCTTTTGTAGGCTGCAGAGTATGAAGTCTAAACAGTCCAGATGGCTGGACTGTTCAGGGGCTAAACGGTTCAGCAGTTAATCCAACAAGCCATGGATTAATCACTAGGCTTTTTAGTCTATAAACATCACAGCAGACTGCATTCTAACTTCATGCACCACAATCTATAAACAAGCCAATCATGGACTGTGGAGAAAAGCAGAAGTGGTACACATACAGGAAGCAGTTTGCTTACTCCTATTTGTGCTAACAACCCCTGGTGTATTAACAAATGGGTTGAAATCATGTGAGAAACAGCTCTAATTCCACTGAGTGTGATAGTTCTGAACAAGTTCAGATACAGCTTAAAGCAGGGCTGGGCAATGCCTGGGGCTGAGGCCATTTTCACCCTCTAAACTTCCTTTTTGTGTGCTATCCTCCATGGGGCACCAGAAAAGAAAAAAAACCCCAGCAGTTTGCCACTCAATTTTGACAGCAAACCAATTTAGCGCAGTTAAACAGGCGAAATCAACTGCTTCTGAAGGAGGAAGATTTCTATCACTTAAAGTGTATTTTCCCTGCAACAGGCTCACAAGACATACAAGCAGAAGCTAAAACCATCAAGGATAGTTCAAGGATGTGGCACAACAAAATGCTGTGTCTCACAGTTTTAAAAGTGATTAAAAAGAAAGACAGAGAATTTGAAGCAAATCAAAGAGGTTGTTGTTTTCTATTGTGTCAAGCTAAGAGGACACTCCATTTGCTGCTGCTCAATTTGGATTATCAGGTGCAATTGTCTTTTTGCAATGGCAGTATTTAGGTCCCAAAGAAAGTCCAGCAACAACCCCTTTAGCAGGTGTTCCATGGGCACAAACTGCAAGACCTGTTGTGGTGAATCCGAGCCAAGCAGCGTCCTCATGAGCTTGCTTAGCTGCTGCAGATATTGGATAACTGGGTCAGGAAGACCTTGGTAGCCAACACACAACAAAACAGCACTGGTTTCAAGGGGCTGAGATGCAGTGGGGCAAGTGAAAGAGATGCACTGGAAACAGCTGTGCAGTATGAAGACTAAGCCAGCCATGATGCGCGTAAAACAGGAGAGAACGGGCAGGACCAAAGCATCTCCCTTCTGGAGCTGCGGAAACACACACAAGAGACATTCCAGAAACTGCAGCTGATATTTCGGCTCTCCATCATGAAGTAAAGAGCAGGAGAAATCTGAGAGAAAGACTGACTCCAGGAGTTTAACTTTCAAGCCAGGACTGCTTTCAGCATCACAGAGAGATGGTAGGCCAACCACCAGACATTGTCTCTGACCACTACAACCTTCACTTGAAGCCTGTTTATGGCACTGTATGAGGGCCAATAACTCAGACAGTACCAATGATCCTGTAAGAACATAGCAAGATGGGCACTCTTGCTGCTTCAGTCTCATGAGGGCACCAACACTCGCTCGACCAATGAACGAATTCTCAAGGGCCTCATTGAGGCTCTTCAGGGCCTCACCATCACAAAAGGGAGAACATTTAACTCCTGGCAACCTGCGTCCCTCCAAGATGTACCACAGGTGACAGTCCAGGTTATTAAATGTCCCTTCTAAAACACATCTTTTCCCAGCATTACCAAGAGAGTGTTCTTCCAGCCACTGGTTAAGACAGCCCTGGGTCACTTTATTTTCCCAAGAGAGGGACTCCAGCATCTTCCTTTCATTGTAGGTGCAAAAATATTTGTTCTTCTGTCCACACCATTTGGAGTTCATGCTGCAGCCAGCATGGGGCTTCTTCACCAGCCAGCTGGTCCTGGAAATAGGTTTCATCTGGAACCTTTGCAAAAACAACTCTACAGCACAATCCCGGAGAGCATTTAGTCTGGTCTGGTCCCTCTCATCCATGTGCTCAAAGAGCTGGAGGTTCTCTGAAATTGTCTCTATCTGATGCCCGTGAAAGAACAAGCAGCATTCTTCATGGACTTTAAGGAAAGATTCTGGAATTGCATGCTGGGGAAAAAGGGCTTTCTTGACCATTTCTGTCCCAAAGTTCTGCATCATCTTGGACAAGAGTGAGTGAATTGATTCCTTGCCCAGATACCGAAGGCAAACTACATAAACCTCCGAGTTGCCTGCTTTACTAGTTGCCGGCTTGAAAACATGCACCTCCTCAAAAGCACAGTTCAGCAGAAACAACAAGTTCACAGAACAATGTTCAAACAGAGTAAACATCTTCAGAACAAAAGAGCCACCAGAGCTAAGCGTCATTAAAGCAGTGACGGTTTCACAATAATGTAAAGGGGAAACAAGCGATTCCTGTTCTCCTGGATTGCCCTGGCAATCAAAGCTTCCATCAGCAGTGACCAGGTGAATGGTGGCCATGTTGCTGATGAAGTGCTGCAGCCCCGTGAGATGTTTCAGGGACATGACATCCCCAGTGTTGTCGGGACCAAAATACCACCAGGGCAAAGTGTTTGCAATGAGCCTGTCATCCGCAATCATCATCAGCGTGTCGCTGGCTTCGTGATAGGGGTTCAGGGTATTGGCTACCCAATTCCAATCACAAGGGATGCGGTGGGACTTGAGATAGTGGTTAAGGCTGGCTATAAAAGCGCCAGGCGCTTCGCAGAGATGAACCGAGTTGAGTTCTCCATTCTGAAGCGCGTCACTGGAGAGCAGCGGAAAGGTGCACAGGACCTCGTGGAATTTGCACCAAGCCTGGGTACACAACTCTGCGTTGACAGATTTCTTGATATGAGCAATGATTTTCCCCGCTTTGTTGGTGAAGGATGTGTGCTGATGCCATTCATCCAATTTCTTATCACTCAGCCTGTTCTTGACTTCATTCATGGAATCCTTCAGGGCGACAAGGGAGCTGAACTCTTCATGGTTGCAAGTGAAAACCAGGTTGGAGTCTGGCAGCTGCCATTCATTGTGTGGTGGTTTGGAGTACTTGAATTTCTTCTCAAACAGCCTCTTGGCTTCAGCAATGATATCAGGGCCAAACTGGTCAAGACCTGTAGTTTGCTCTGCATACACCGCCTTCTTTTGATTGCTCATTCTCCGACTGAGACAAGCCCTGGAGAAAAGAAAGAAGAGGATAGCAAGCAAGAATCATCAAGGGTCCAATGAATCTTGTGTTTAGGATGTAAGAATGTAGGAGAACCATGCTGAGCTAGGGTCCACCTAGTCCAGCATTCTGTACACAGAGTGGCCAACAAGCTGCCCATGGGAAACCCACCAAGGGGACACAGGAGTACAACAGCACCCTCCAAGCCTATGTTCTTCAGCAACTGGTGCACACAGGCATACTAAATTTGATACTGGCACGGAGCCACTGGGATTAGTATCCATTGATAATCCTAGCACCATGAATTTGTCCAATCTGTCATGCACGCACTCTGGCAAGATTCCCAGGTGCACACAAGAAGCTGACTGTTTTGGTGGGACTGATAGCTCAGAGTCCGAGGATGGAGTGGAGTTGGCTGACCCAGTTGGAGCTCAGAGCCTGAACTCTGATAATAGAATTGTTGTTGAAATGTACCAACCTGCACCTGCAGTCCCAGTTTCTCAGTTCCAGTCAGAGCCTGCTCTGGATGTAAGTAGTTCAAGGACAGCCATGGGGCCCAGTCCCCCTGCCTGTGGAAATGAAGAAGCAAAAACATCCTGAGGAAGGAGATTTGGAAATGGGTAGTCTCTCAGATGGAGAATGCCAGTCTCCTGAGGATGTGGACCCAAAGGACCATTGGTACAGCCACAGGCCGGTCTAACTAGGGACTCAGAAGGTGGAACGCAGGTGCCTGGTTCCACAGCAAAGCTTTGGGTAAAGGGGGACAGAGAGAGTTCAACATCTCACTTTGTGTATGCTGAGACTTGCGTATGCTTAGACTTCTATGTAGAATAAAGATGCTTACAGGAAGTGCTGGAGAGTGTCTTGCTGGGGAAGAAACACCTCGCTCACAACACAATCCCTTTCTAAATGCATACAAACTGCTGGCCGGTACAGCATATTATGAGAGTGAATTCCATAGTTTAATTATGTGCTGTGAGGGGGAAAAAAAATCCTTCCTTTTATCTGTCCTGAATCTGCCACCAATCAACTTCATGGGATGAACCCTTTGGGTTTTCGGATGGAGAGAAAGGAAAAAAATTGGTCTCCCTATCCACTTTCTCATCATTGTGCACGATCATACACAAGTTCCCCTTAGCACACCCTTTTTTCTAAATTAAGCAATCGCAGACATTATAATCTCTCCTCACAGGAGCACTGATCCTTCGAGATGCCCTTTTTCTAACACTACTATGTCCTTTCACAGGCATGTACCCTGTACTCTGTGTGTTTGCGTCATAGATTTGAATAAAAGGAGTAAGAACTTGGCAACTTTAATTTCCTTCTCTACTTACATTTAAGTACACAGAACATGCAATTTGCCCTTTTTGCAGCTTTCAAATGCTGAGTCAACAGTTTCATCCAGCTGCCCATCATAACCTCAACAGCTCTTTCTTGGCCAGTTACTTTCATCAATTCAGATCCCATCAGCTCACATACACAACACTGGAGGTTTCCCTCTGATGTGCTTTGCTTTAGGCTTCCTTATATCAAACCATTCCGAAATCATCTCACAGTGAGGATTCAGACATGGCAAACTCCCCATCCTGATGTTTGGTCTTACAAGATAAGGAGCTTATAAACAGGAAACATGCACCAGGTGTTGCTGGCAGACTCCTCCTACTTAAAGCAACAGGGAACTAAGCCACAGAAAAGCCCAGATGGAAGCAAGACATGCCCACCCTCAGGTGGAGAGAATTTAATGTACAGTAGGAACGGAAAACCTGTGTTTTGGCCTGCAGTTCCCATCATTTCTCAGCACTGGCTATGCCAGGTAGAGCTGCTGGGAGTTGTAGGCCAACATTTTTATTTACTGGTTTGTCAAGTACCCTTCCTTTCTTCCAAGAAAATAGTATGTAAAACAAACACAGAGCCACAATTTGCTTGCACAAAGGCTCAATTAAAGTTATCCCCACATCATAGAATAAACATGATTTCACAAAACTATCAACACTTGTAACAGAAAAATAAAAAAGCGCATTACTGGAAGGGAAGGGGATAAGGAAATTACTGTAGAATCTGAATTTGTTTTTATACCTGCTCCTTTCCAATGTCTTTGTCCTTCTACAGTGAAGTAGGAACTATGCTGTTTTCTACATTTGCATACAGCAGGTAGAAAATTTCAGATGCTTTATAAAATAATAAATGGTTACCACCAATACCCATGGCACACAATCTAGCCAAAAGCAAGCAGTTTGGAGCTCCACAGATTTTCGTGGAAGAAATTTAAATATACACTTGCCTTGTCTATTCAGATAATGAGCTTTCAAAGGGCTTAATTTGTTTGGATTGCATCCATGAAGTTTCAGCAGGACAACAGAAGCGGACCATCTCCACTCCACTCAACAAAATGAGAGGCAGAGTATCAATGAGGGATGGCTGTGAGCCAAAGAAGTTTTAGTACAATATTAAAGGCCAAGAAAGTTAAAAATATAAACAAAAAGGAAATTGTTTAGCGATGTTACTGGAAGTGCTGCTCCTGAACTGGAGCAGTTAGAGGTTAATCATGCATTTCTGTAGTGCCCAGTACACTAAGAATACAACCCTAGATCCAACCCTAGATCAGTGGTCTCCAACCTTTCTGGCACCAGGGACTGGTTTCATGGAAGACAATTTTTCCATGGACCAGCTTTGTGGATAATTCAAGTGCATTGCATTTATCGTACACTTCATTTCTATTATTATTATTACACTGTGATATAGAATGAAATAATGATATACCTCACCATAATGCAGAATTAGTGGGGCCTCCCCCTGCTGATCTGCAGCCCTGAAGCCCAGCCCTTGCCCGCTTCCCTTGCCGCTTGCACACGCCCCCTCCCCCGGCTTCTCCGTGCTCCCTGCCCCCTGGCTCTGCTGCTCCTGCAGCACTCCCTCCTCTTTTTGGGGCCCGATACCCCAAAGGGCCCCAGAGAGAGTCTGTATTTGCAGCCACTCCCAGCAGTGATGCTCGTGCTGGGCAGCAGCTGCAAAAGCAGATGGAGCTTTGCTCACTAGCCCACAGCTCACCTCCTGCCTTGCAGCCTGGCTCCTAACAGGCCACAGGCCAGCACTGGTCCACAGCTCGGGGGCTGGGGACCCCCGCACTAGATGGCAGTAAGAGAATTTGGAGTTCCAGCGCCCACCTTAGAAACGTGCCTCAGAAAAAACTGCACCAGCTGGGACTCTGAGGTCAGTTGGCATCTCATGGGGATTCCTTAGGACCGGGAGGGAAGATGTTGGTGCCACAGGACTGCATAGCTGCGGCTATGTACCATCAAGTCATTTTCAACTTATGGTGACCCTATGAATGAATGCCGGCCAAAATGCCCTTCACAGCCCATAAGTTCTAAAATGGCAAATATTTACCACTGGAATTATTTCACTCTGAGGCTGTAAACTGATAGTATCTGGCCATAAGCCCCATTAAATGCAGTGCAGCTTGCCTTTGAATAATTATGTACATAAATGCAGAATGGCAGTGCGATCTTATATATGTCTCCTCGGGAGCAAGACCTTTTGAGTACAATGGAACTAGCTCCCACAAAAATGCACACAAGTTTATATTTATTAATTAAGGTTCACAGCACAAGTAGACTTTCAAGCTTCAGTATGAACAGACTTACCTAACAAAAGTAACGGTGGGGTTCTTTTCATGGTACTTTTGCACACGCTGTAGGTGGGTCCTAATCCCACCTGTTATGGCAGGGAGTTCTGGGTTTCTACAACAGACATGATCATTAATGTCATGGTTTGCAGGCACTGTTCACTTAAGGTAGTGGAGAATTAGAGGCAATCAATGGAGCACAGCAGGGGATGGAAGCTTCTTCCACCATGCAAGACATGGAGCTATTGATTCTGACAATCTGTACCATTGCTTGAAAGAAGGGGCTGATGCATCACTATGATTCCTCACACCACAGCAAGGTATCACTCCTCCTCTCCCTGGAAAATACCCTTCCTCCCACGAACGGAAGCTCCAAAGTTGCACTTCAAACTTCAAAGCAGCAGCCTGAGTAGAAAAAACTGTGTCAGGGATAAGGAAGGTGCTTCATGATTGGAATCCCATCTCCATCCTCAGAATGCATTCTGGAGGTCAGAGCTGGGACTCTGCCCTGTCCTGTCGCTGTCTAGGCAACATTAGCAGCCATAAGATTGCACTGGTGTTACGTTTATACATTGCTTCCTACTGAAAAAAGCAGTCCTGAAATAATTTACAATACAGGTTAATAATATAAATATTATATAAATAATAATATAAAGAACTTATGACTTTCTTGTAAACCCCTTTTCAAGTTACCTTTCTAAGTAAGCTAACAAAATATATTAAAGAGCAATAGACAATGTTAAAACATACCAACTTGTAAAAGACATTCAACAAAAAGAAGGAGTATCAATGTTAGTGTAAATAGCAGATTCACAGCAAAAATTAACCAGAATGGTCCCAAATCCATTTGGAGAGGGCTCTTGGACTTGATGACTAACAAGAAAGAAGGAGTGAGAAAAGTTTCCTTAGGCAGGGCTACAGCTGTGGTGCCATCACAGAGAAGGCCCTGTTCTAGTTTGTCAGTGGCCATACATCAGACACCCTGGACAGTCACTCCTCAAAAAGATGACACTCCTCTAGCAAAATATTAGCAATGTCTGGAGAGCTTCATGAAAGCCTGTTTCCAGGCCACTTCCCCTGCAAAAACACAGGGTCTCAGGAAGAACTGCAAGAAATATTTTAGGCTATGTTGTAAATCCATGTGTTAACAGTCAGACACTCAACCAATCCCCACAAGAAACCCTAGCATGCCTCCTGGAGCGTAGGACCCTTTGCAATGCCCAGGGTTTCCATCACAAATATTTAAGGATCCCTTATTAATCAATGCCAGTAGAAAGCTTACAGAACGCCTGGAATAAAGGATACAATTATTGCCTTCGACCTTTCTAATATGCTCCTGATTGCCCATGCACAAGACCACGCCCCTTACATTACACCAGAGTCCCCCCAATCTGGAGCCCTGCAAGTGAGTTGGGACTACAACTCCTAGCATCCCCAGCCAGTCATTCTCAAACAAGATGCTAAGAATTGCACTCCCAACACACCTGGAGGTAGCAGGTTGGGGGGCGGGCACCAGGCTGCACACCCACACAAACACCCCCAGCATTCTGTACACGCATTAAACAGGAATTAAGAACTGCCCCTGCATAACCAGTACGCTCGCATTCAGCGAAAACAGAAGCAAATACTAATTGAGAAAAAAGTTGCTGCATAAAATAGCCTTTAAAAGTATTCACCCCAAGCTGAAACCAGCTCCAACTGCTACGCATGCGTACTTCAAACTTTCGCTTCCTCTCTTATTGGTGGGGCTGAGAGTGGTTTCTCGCCCCCTTTTTGCTACACATGCGCGCTTCCGCCCCCTTACGGGCTGGGGCAAAAGCACTCTTCCGGCCTTTCTTCTGTTACGCATGCGTAATGTCAAGCTTTCTCTCGCATATCCCCGATGAGACGTTGCCTGGCCCAGGTGTACGCATGCGTAGAATAAATCTTGGTCGCCAGAGCCCGCCCGGTTTCCCGCGCCTGTGTGTTTGGGTGAGTGGGGAGCGGGCGGGCGGTTTGAGTGGGCGGATATGACGTCGGCAGCGGCGACCTCAGGCAAAAGCTGCGAGGAAACGGCTTGGAGAGGCATCTCCAACGACGCACGAGGCGTGGGGGGGATGGTAGGTCGTGCAGCTCGCGTGGGTCGCAGGAGTGGGTGGACGAGGCCTCTCAGCTTGCCCACTCAGGCCAGGCTTATCCGGGCCCAGCGTGTGGGAGTGCCTCCTTTTCTCCCTCGATAATGTGAGGTCCCCTAATGTAGTGGTTAAAGGAGGCTTCAACATGGTGCCCTCCAAGCATTCTGGACTACAGTTCCCATCACCACTCTATGTGCTGGCTAGGGCCGATGGGAGTTGTAGGCCAACATGTCGTTGTAGGAGTTGATTGTGGAAGGCTGTTTGGCGTGCCTACTCAGCCGTGGAGCTTATTGGGGGGTTGGAATTCAGTCTGTCGGACTCCACAGGGTTGTTGTGAGGATTAAAGAGGGAAAGGACCATTCTGCTGAGCTTTCGGCAGGGTTGCGGTTAGGGTTTCCTCCTGCAGGATAGATGGGGTATAAATGTACTAAAATAAAATAAGTAGTAAAGAAGTTTGGCCACCTAATGAGAAGGAAGGACTCACTGGAGAAGACCCTAATGCTGGGAGCAATTGAAGGCAAAAGAAGAGAAGGGGACGGCAGAGGATGAGGTGGCTAGATGGAGTCACTGGAGCAGCCGCCGTGAGCTTAGGTGGACTCCGGGGGATGGTGGAGGACAGGAAGGCCTGGAGGAGTGTTGTCCATGAGGTCGCGATGGGTTGAACACGACCTCACAACTAACAACAACAAAGTAAAGAAGTTACGTTCTCTAAAATGAGAATAGTTGGCTGTTGCAGGGTTTTACAGTATAGCCTTTTTGCCAACTATAGGATGGCGATATAGCCAGGGTTTCTTAAAATTGTCATCATAATAATACCCATTCTTCATATTCAGTAGTGATGTTGGTAATGTCAACGTAATTATGCAAAAGAATTGATTTCCAAAATGGTAGTTGTGTAAGTCTGTTGCAGAAAAAAGAGCAAAGAATCCTGTGGCACGTTCAGATTTAGTGGATGTATTGTGACATAAGATTTTATGTAGAGTTTGCTTTGCTTAATGCTTGTTATCCTCCATTGGCAATAATTTACATTAGTTTTAAGGATGTAACATAAATGCTAAAGTGTGGCGTCAAAAGGCAATGAAATACAGAAAGTGCCCGCTATGAAAGAGTGTGAGCATTGCATATATGAAAAATATGGATGGTGACAATATACAACAAACTCCTAGTGTACTTTCTTTACTCAGAATCTGATGAAGTACGCTTTGGCCTATTGAAGCTTATGGAAGAAAAGAGACAAAATTAGGTTCATTTTTGGTGCAAAAATGAAGGAGGGAACGTCTGAAATGCACTGTGGAAACTATGGGAAGCTGCAGTGTGTGTTGCAGTGGAAAAAGCCTTCAGGGGTAGCTGGGCTCATTAAGGAATAGAAAAACAATTTTGTGTTAATTTGCTAAAATAGCATTGTTTTAGCTATTCCCAATGTGAGTGTACTTTTCCCAATTCATAAACTTTGGTGAAGCAGGAATAAGCAATGGAGGTGTGCACCTTCCCCTTCTCTTGTGTGCCAGTACAGAATTCAGTTTTCAAACAAACTGGGAACTTTGCACCAAAGCAAAGGGAAGAGGTGAGTTGACAGAGGAGAACATAGGCTATTGAATTATTTGCACTTTAAAGAAATGTTTTATTACTCATGAGTTACTGTTTTCAGGACAACTTTGAAGTCTCTTCATTGAAATAAAAGCTTACATGATAACTTTCTAACTTCTTAAGCTGCCGCAGAACTTTATGTTGCTATGAGAGTGTTAATAATATTAAACCCAATGTAACTTCTGAATAAAACAGTTCAGAATCAAGGTAGACATTTCATTGGTATTTTGTTTTTGTTTTTTTCCAGCAGTTTTCAGTGTGTGTAGTGCTTTTGAGGGATAATGTGTATGAATTAGCTTGTATATAGATGTTAAAGGGACATTAATGGTGCAGTGGCATAAACTGCTAAGCATCTGGGCTTATCCATTGAAAGGTCAGCAGTTCTGCAACACAGTGAGCTCCCGTTGCTTTCTTCCAGCTCCTGCCAGCCTAGCAGTTTGAAAGCATGCAAATAAAGATAGACAAATAGGTACCACTCTGGTAGGAAGGCAGCAGCATTCTGTGAGCCTTGGGATTTAGTCATGCTGGACACATGACCATGGAAACTGTCTGCAAACACGGGCTCCCTCTGCGAAGAAATGGAGATGAGCACTGCCCCCTAGAGTCAGACACGACTGGATTTAATGTTATGGGGAAACCTTTACCTTTTAAGATGTTATAGATGTTAAGTATAAAGCAGGGCTGTCCAACCTATGGCCCACAGGCCACATGTGGCCCAGGATGGCTATGAATGCAGCCCAATATAAAATTGTAAACTTACTTAAAACATTGAGGGTTTTTTGTAATTTTTTTGGGTAACTATTGTGCAGTTCTCAAGCATGAACTTTGTAGGTGACAATGTTTATTTATTTATTTATTTATTAAAACATTTTTATGCTGCCCCATTCGCCGAAGCCTCGGGGCGGCTTACAACATAGATAAAACAATAAGTTAAAATATCCATATAAAATAATCTTAATTAAAACACACATTATAAAATAAGCCGCCCTGGCCAGATAAAATTCAATTGTATTTAGCATTTAAAATGTTGCTTAAATAAAAAGCAAATGTTGTGCTGCAATGTCACATAAAATAAATGTACATATGCTCTTGCTATTTGTATGCATGGTGGTGGCAGATATCACAAAAATTATGCACAGACTTTAATTCTTTTTTAATTTTTTGCTCATCAGCTTTTGTTAGTGTCTGTGTATTTAATGTGTGACCCAAGACAATTTTTCTTCTTCCAATGTTGCCCAGAGAACCCCTGGTATAAAGGGTTGGATCTAGATATAGCCATATTCAGCATAAACCCGCTGATAAGAATTAACATAATGACAACTAACTTTTTCCCCATTGATTTCAGCGGGTCTCTTTGAAGATGGAAGTGTTGGATCCAGCCCTATATGTGATTTGAGAATCCCTGCAGTTATCTTTGATTAGGCTTTCCTCTCCCTGCTGCCTTACATGTGAGTAGGGCTTGGGGTGGATAGGGCCTCACACAAGTTCCCTCAGACCTGGTCACCTCAGGCCAGCAGTTATCCACCCCTGCTTTAAACAAATAAAGTGCATTTATTGCCAGTTTAATTTTTAATTCAAACACACCAATAGCCAAAGCTCATACAGATTTTAGAATTGTTATTGAATTAGTTCTTTTTCAACAAGAAAAAGGTACAATTCTAAGAAGGCTTATTAGAGGCAAGCAGAGTAATCCTATGCATGTTTTCTCAGAAGTAGCTTCTGTTGACTCAGTGGCACTTACTAGTCAGTGTAACGGGGCGTGCACTAAGCTCTGTTGAGCACAGCAGTACTCACTTCTATGTAAATGTGTTTGAAAAGGTGTATTTCCTTTTGCACATATTATAGAAAAGGCTATATCCTTGTGTTTCTACAGTATGCCTGTGGCACCTGAGTTTGTTTCCCCTTTCTGCTGTCCTCAGAAAAATCTGTCAAAGGCAGGAGTGGAAGAGAAAGTAGATCCGGATTTACTAGTAGGTCACTGGATAATTTGCAGCAGATCAACAAGCAATTTTTGACTCTCCTTATCAGGAAAGGTAGGAGTTTTTTCTTTTTAAAATGGCTACTGGATTTTTTGAGTTACAAATTAGTCTGACGTAGGTGCCATTCTTTTCAGTGGGTCTCCTGTAAGTAAGACTAACATTAATACAACTTCTTAAGCTGTAGTAATTGAAATGTGGATTTGCTGTTGTGTATGCCAGTAGCACATAGCTCAAGGGGTACAATAATCAGTTCTGCACAGCCCAAACAATCACTGGCATACACCAGGTAACTAGGTCTACCTCATACCACCGTTTCAGTCTTTGCTTCAGTTGGTGGACATTAACGTTCTAATTGAAAACCAAGTAGACCTTGCCCATAGCTAGTCTAAGGCAGCAAACAGACTGCTGTTTTCACTGGAAAATAATTGAGGCCTACCTTGTCTTAAAAGCTAGAGCCAATTTTGCATTGATATAATTAATATCAGTTAGTTGCAAGTTCATGCAGGAGCCATCATTTTGGAGCATTAGGGCAGTAATAAAGAGTGTGCTTGTCTATTTTGGAGAGTGATGTATCAGTGCTTAGGTCTGTTATTTCAAATCAAATGTCTGTTTTTTTAAAAATAAGGCTAGAGGATTCTTAAGGAGGTCTTGTTTGAATATGTTTTGTGTGAAAGATGGATTAAATTCTTGAATTCTGCTTATTGATTAAACGATATCCAATTCTATCCACTGGAGATGGTACAAACCCTAAGTGGGTTTCTTTTAAGCAACTTATGCAGAACATTTCTCTTAAAAATATATATATTGAATCCAGGGCCTATTTGTCTTCCTGAGTGACAGAACACGTGTGAGAGTGATAACATTGTGGGGATCATACGCCTCCAAAATTGTTTGTATTGTTGTGATGATTGCAATGTTTACAATCCTCTTGTAAAGCTTTAAAGTTGTTTTTATGACATTTCTAACTGCAAAGATGACAATGAGAAATTTGAACAAGTTAGTGTGCCTGAGAAACTGAATAGTATGATGACAACCAGTCAAACCCCACATTCATTATACTTTCTATATTTTTGTGAACATTATTACTTTTAAAAAACATTCCTTCTGAAAAGGTAGAAGCTATCTACTTTCTTTATATCCTTTAAATGAAACAAATGGAGTGTTGTCCTTGCAAAATGCTTTATGTCTAACATGTTTAGCTTTTTGTTAGATATAGATGTGTGTGTACAATGCTGAGATGATCACCAAACTGTGACTAACAGTAAAAATTGTAAAAAGAACTTGAATTTTATTTCATTGAGACAATTGCCTTACACCTGAACGTCATAGATTTTCATGACTTGCATACCATTAGTGTCGAAGTTCTTTTTAATGTGCATATTACAGATACTTGTTAATTTTGCTTTTTAACTTCAACAAGAAATAGTGGAAAAATGTATTTCTGCTCTCTTTTGCTTTGCTACTGAAGCATAGGATATCAAATGCATCCTGAAATGAAAAAGAAAGTAACAAAAGCAGGGAGACTTAGACTGAGTCCTAATGAAGAAGCTCAACTGTTGAGAGAAGAATACGAAAGAAGAAGGAAATTAAGGCTGCAACAGGTCTGTTTGCATTGCTGGGAATGACCTTCATTTAGCCAGTTGCATGAGCAGGTTTCCACATTCTCATTAGCCGTGGTGAGTGCTGCCCCTCTGTGTGTGAGCCCCAAGTCTATTCTCAAACCTGGATTTGCGGAAGTGGGTGGGCAGGCGTTTACAGCTTTACAACAATTCCTCTTTCACATTCCTGCTCTAAAGTTGGAAGGAAGGCCTGGAATTGTTTGTGCAGCTGAACGTTTGATGTGGTGACAACAAAGCAGCCAGTGTCTTAACAAGCAAGCACCACACTCCACATCCACTGTTGGGAATGAGTGTGTGGCAGGGACTTTTCTGGTCATAATGCTGCTGAGAGAGTTTGCACAGAATCAGATTATCAAAGCTTTGTACAGGATGCTGATCCAAGTTTGGGAGTGGAGCAGAAAATGGCCTGTGATTACTATGGTGCTGCAGTACAAGGTCACTTACGAAGAGAGTAGGATCCTGGAGACCATGGCTTTGTGGACTCTTCCGAATAAGACAATTTCTGCAACATTATGATGAGCCTCTTACACAGGATTTTTTTTATCAACTCCTTAATAGCCTCAATATAAGGAGAAGGTTCTCACTCTCCATACTGCCACTATATAGTCTCCCCTTTACCTTTTGAAATCAGTAGCTTCACATTTTGGTGCTATCCTACATTTGCATTTATAATTTCATTTGTATGCCACCCTTTGCCTAATAAACTCATAGTATTGCTTATGGTTTTACTTTGTATTTCGTTCTTAAAAGAAAAACAAAGAATCTGGAGCAATATTAAGTGCATGGATAGATGGGATTTGAACTTGGGTGGCCAAATCCAGCACATTAAGTCCCGCAGCAAAATAGCCAGAATGTTTACATTCACCCCACTGTCAAACCTATAAGTGCCAATTACATATAGGTATGAGTTTATCTAAAGCCTATGCATGTACCAAATCCAAGCAATCAAGTTTTTGATACTCAAGGCAGTATTTGGTATTGCTGGTAGGCTCCTACTAGGACAGTTGGGAATTATTGCTTCCTAAAGTAATCCCATTCTATAATCAAACATTTCCTCTTTTTCTAGTTGTTTTAAAAAACAAGTTGCTCCCCATGTATGTATATATTTTGTAACAGTATATATTTTTCATATAAATATCTGCAGACCAACTTTAATTGTAGCTACCGTATTATTCCGTGTATAGGGTGATATTTTTTCTTTAAAATATTTACCTAAAAATGGAGGGGCGTTTTATACACAGGCCTAGAAGAGAACTGTGGGCGTGCTTGGCGGTGGGGGGGAGACTGGCGCAGGTGCGCTGGGGGGAGGCGGGCATGGGCACGTTCGGGAGAGACTGGCGCGGGGACGGGTGCGCTTGAGGGGGCAAGGCGGTGGGTGCGCACATGCAGCAGCTTGCTGCTAAGGGATCAGTAAGAAAAGTGGGGGCATCCTATACATGGGGCAATCTTATAGATGGAAAAATACAGTAAGTCTTAAATTTTTCATCTATTTTAATGACTCTGTAACGTGTGCATCATAGACATTTCCATGCTTCTGTGCTCTTTCTCCCTTGCCTTTCACCACTAGGTGACCCTGGAAGGAAAACTATAAATCTGATTTCCTTTATTCTCTTAGGCTTTAAATATGTGATCACAGATATGTAGGTGGCAGCAAACCAGGAAAAATATTTCTAAGCTAGTAACCTTTGCAGAATTATATGTAAGGCTGAGTAAATAATTCTGACACAACCAGAGAAGTACTTGGGCCATTCCCTTTGGATTTTCCCCTTGAGTGGACTGGCATGATACTCTTTATGTGGACCAGCTGTGTATCCTACATTCATTGAACTGACTTGTGGTATGACTTACAAGTCAGTCTTTTACCAGTACCTCTATATTTTCCTTATTTGTTGCTGCCCCCTCCCCCGTAGCATTTTGGAAATCCAGTAAACCAAGCATAAGTTTTATTTTAAATGGTTTTGGAAAGGAGGAAGATGGATTCCAGTAAAAATCAGGACAGACTTCTGCAAAATCATTGACAAACCATTTTTCCCTCCAGGTTAGAGAGCAGGAGAGGAATATTGCTTTGCAGATAAGGCAAGATGTCAAGCAGCGAAGAGAAGAACACCTGCATCTGTTGGCAGAAGAACTGAAGGCAGAATGGCAGAAAGCGCAAGATGAAAAGATTAGAGCTTTGGAAAAGCTTTATCAGTCAAGCTTAAGAGCTATAGGAGAAGGACATAGGCAGGCAAAGGAAAATGTAGGTAAATGCTTGTTGTGATACTATCACAATCAAGACTGTTGAGATATTTACAGAACGAAAATTATATATTTTAGTTATGTCTGTAGTCATGTACTAATGAATATATTGGAGTATGTGTTAGCTATTGGGTGGTATATTAATGAAGCATAAAGGAAGTTGATGCATGTTGCCACTTTTTCATATCAGTATACGTGTAAAGAAAATTACATAGCAAATCAGACTCCTCTAGAGTAATTCAGAGTGCACTGTTATACATGTTTAGCCATGGAAATGGCCTTTAATTCCCAACATTCTTCAATCAGCAATGCAGTTTGGAGAATACTGAAAGTTGTGGAATCCTTTTGCTCATACTTATGGATGACATGTGAACAGGTTAATAAAACTAAACACATGAATAATGTACAGCAGGTGCAAGGTAGGGAGTGATCAGTCATGCTACAGACTTCTATTTTGTTTGGGTTATGCTACTCAATTTATTAGAATTTAACTTCTAGAACGTGAAACCATAATTGTGAAGAATTTGTATATTGAAAAGGCAGCTACTTACTAATGAATGCCATTTAAATTTATGATGTTATCATGGATGGGGGCATGTTGTGAGGAATAATGGGATTTGCAAAGATTTTTCCTACCCCCCCCTTCTTTTTGCAGAACATTTAGCCTAATCTATTAGGAAATCTTAACAGCTGCATGGATGAGTGACACCAGTAGTTGGACAAGAACAAAGTGCTTGTTTTCAAAGGAACTTTTGAGCAGTGTGAACAGGGTTATGTAGTAATTGTCCAGTTCTCTTAAGTATTTTGCTAAAGGTAGCATGGGTTGGACTTGTTCCATCACTATTCAAGTTAAATAGCGTCTTATAAAGCATGTAATGGTCCAAGACAAGTGTTGTTACTAACAGTGGGAATAGGACAGATCCCCATGAAAAGGTGCCTCTAGTACATTGACTTGTAGGCTGACAAAGTCTCTCCCTAGAATGCGCCTAATAGCTTTGGAAGCTTTTTAAATGAAGAACTGCAACAAAGAGAGGTCTAGATTTTGGTGAATGTCATATTCATGAAAGGGAGGCTTACCTTGCTAGCACATTAGAATCTGTATTCTTCCCTAGTTTTAGACAAATTTGGTGTGGAAGAGTAGAATGTAAATTGCACAATTCTTTTGAAGTAACCCATTTGAAATACATTTGTTATGGCAAAATTAATTTCTGCCTCATTATTTGTGAACTGCTTTGGGATTGCATTATATTGAACCTATGGCACCTGCTTAACAAATACTACATTTTATTTTGAAGGAACCTGATTTAGAAACACTGGCAAAGCAGGCAGAGGAAAGGAGGCAAAGAGCAGAGAAGAGGCACAAGGAAGCACTGCAGGAGCAGAAAAATCGAAAGGAGAAGTTGCTGAGGGAGAAAACATGGTAAGAGTTGCAACCTGTACATTAAAATTGAGCCTTTACTTCTCAGTCTGAAAAGCACTCTTGCATTTTGTTTAGGATATTTAGGATTGCTTCTAGTATGATGAGAGTGAAGGCTTTTCGGTATTCACCTTTGCAGTCTGAGAAGCTTCTTCTGAGTTGAGGCTGGAGAAGGAATGGTTCGTGTGCTTGTGCATGAGTGGAAGTTATTTTCTGTTACACAAGCTACTTGTGGAGGCAGTCCATAACAAACCTGAAATGGTGTTTTCTGAAAGATATTACTGTCTCATAGCTTTAACATTTCTACAGATACACTGCAATGTTTTGGAGTGTTGTCCACTCAGTACAATTATGAGTGTTTTCACTCAGAAGTCAATAATCGATTCAAGTTGTAGCAACCCAGATTTCAACTAGATATCAGGAAAAGCTTCCTCACTGTCAAAACAATACGACAGTGGAACCAGCTGCCTAGAGAGGTGGTGGTCTCTCTCACACTAGAAAAATTCAAGAAGAAACTGGACAGCCATCTGAGTGGGATGGTGTAACATGGTGTCCTGCAACAGCACAGAGTTGGACTCGATGGCCTCATGGCCCCTTCCAACTCTACTATTCTGTGAAGTCACACTGCTCCACAGTAAATGGATGGTAGGATGTGGGCCCTACAATAGCCATATTAGCAGTCGGTACTTAGAATTCTTGTTTCCTATATGGATAACTGAAGTTGCTGCCCAGACCATAAATCTGGCTGGACTGGTGTTATGCTTAGATCTTTGTCTCTTACTAGACTCATGCTGAGCAGATTTTAGAAACAGCGAATTACATTATCTATGATGAATGACATGTTTCCAGTAACAACTCGATTCAGCTAATGGGCTGGATCTTGAATTTTGCCTGCTATGGAATAAAGGCCAGCATTGTTCTGACCTGATGGAGCATTTCCACTGGTATGATGGAAGAAGTGGTTTTTTGTGATTGATTTCCCCTTTTGCCTTGCAGCACCTGCACTCTTCTACAATCTGTGTAGGAGTGTTGGGGGGACCCTCTGGAACAGTGGGGGAAGTACTGCTGTGCTGCAGGAAGCAGAAGGATTGGACAAAAATCTTTCACTTTTCCATTGGTAGAACCATTCTGAGCATAACTCTGCTCAGGGGATGGATCACTGAGTCAAACCAGCATTTCATGGGATATTTAGCTTGGAGTCCTGCACTGAGCAAGGGGTATGACCCAATGCCCCTTCCAATTCTACTGTTCTGTGATTCTGAAGTCAATTTTGTTTCTGTGCTTCCTTCCCACATGCTTGAGGAAGCTTACATCAAACTGAAAAAAAGTTTAAGTATTAACAACAGTTAATAGTGGGAGGGAGATAATTTATAATGAAGTACATATCAACAATTAACAATCCATTAAACAGTTTATCAAACCACAGTTTTGCATAAAAAAGACAGGCCACATAACTAGTTTGTTCTTAACATTGCATAACAGCATTTAAAACAATTCAGTTAAAATGTGTAGTTTAAATTAGTTTGTCCTTTGAAATAATTAAGGCTGGACTTGATTTCGGTTCAAATACTTGGGTTAATTGGGTTGTGGATTGGACTGCAAGTAACTACTGCAATAAGTGTATACAGTTAGTTGGGGAACATTAGGTTCTGTCAGACTTTCAGTTTAGTCTAATCGCATTAAACAAGTTCCTTAAGATTTTCAGTGAAAAAGTATTCAGGCTTCAGAAAGCTGTCCCCTGACAGAGGGGAGTCAGAGTCAACAAAAATGAGGTGCATTCTTTGTGGTATATAAGGATATTCCTGTAGCCCAATTGAAAGTCTGAGCACCTTTTGTCGGTGCCATCACAAAATGGCTGCTGTGGCCGGGGAAGGGAAGGAAAAGCAATTAAGAGGAGAAGAGAAAACAGAAAATAAAAGCTATGCTGGGGAGGAAAAGAAAGCCCAGCCATAGAGAAGAGGCAAAAGAACAAAGGCATGCAAAAGTGGCCTTCCCGTTGGACTCTTCCGTTGCAATGGCAGTAGTGGGGAGGTGAGAGTGAGAGATGCGATAAAGGGAACAGAGAGGGAGAGCTGCGTGGATGCTAGTGAATGACTTTGTGGGTGCATTGTTGCCCAGAGGTGATGTGCTGGGCATCCCAGTCCCACTCCTGCTCATGTGTACTCTGACGTATCGGTGCTGTTATGTGCGGTCACGTCGTGTCCAACTTACGGTGACCCCATGGATGAAAGCCCTCCAGAATGTCCTGTCCACATCAACCCTGGCCAGCAGTTCAAAGTTCAAAGCTGTGTCATCCTTTCTGGATTCAGTGCATCTCATAAATAGAGGCCTAATAAAAATACCAAGCATTGTGCTTTGCTGTTTGTTTGATGTAGCCTTGTACAAAGCCCGATTTGAATATCTTGTTTCTTGCTGTTCCTTTTCTTCTTATAAACAAGGAGAGCAAATGCACGGAAACATGCCTTAGATATAGAAAAAGAGAGAGCTGCTAAAATTGCAAGTCTGCCTCCACCTCCTCCCCACCCCTTTGAAGTGAGTTTTTTCTTTTCAAAAATTTTGAAAGGTGCTGAAATGGCTTGAAAAGGTGCTGCACTTGGAAAGACACAGATACTTTAAAAGATGCTAAACATTGGCTGATAATAATAACATGAGGTTTTAAATGAGGTGTGTTAATTGTAAAGGGGCTGGATGTTAGTTGATTAGCAGTAGCAGATAACATTGTGTGTTGATGGCATGCATCTTAAAAACAAAGCCAAAGTAGTTTAAGGGTACAACCCTGTGCATGTAGGACAGAAAAATTCCTACAAAAACCAGTGCTCACAGCCAGCCTTGTCAGTTTTATTCATTTAGATTAATTACATGTGGGTGCTGGTTTATCATAACATGAATTTTAAAGGGAATTTTAAATTATTTAAAGAAGTGTTGTTAGGAGCCTTTGTTGCTACATTATATATAGTTCAGTTTATGTTTTGTGAGAAGTAGTTCACTCAACATTAGTATTAGAACTAATGAATTGTCAGGATCTAAAGATATATTCCAACAGACAGTGATGGCCTACTTTATACTCATAGGCATAATCAGATAATATTAGTAATGCATAAGTCCACTGAAAGTGGTAGACCAAATTAGTTGCCCATCTATTCTTAAGTTAGTTGTGAATGGCAAGTAGTGATCTTCCAGATTTTTGGCCTGTAATACCTATCAGCCCTCACTATTGATTATGCTGCCTGTGGCTGATGGGAATTGTGGGAGAACAGAAAGTTAGCCACCCCTGGACTTGAACACTGTGCGAAACAAAAGCCAAATCTCAGTCTAGCTGGAAGTTCACATTCTGATTTAAGTTAGATGAACTCTGGATTTTCAGCAGGAGCCTTTAGTCAATTTTATATAGGTTTGGTTTATTGGTTTGTACAGCTTGCTTTGTTTAGCACAAACTGGGGGAAATCATTATGGTTAAAGCTATTTATTTTTACAACTTTTCAGAATGTTGAGTTGCAGAATGTCTCTACAGTGAAAGTCAGTGAAGTTGATACTTTCTCAATTACTCGCCATCATCTTTTTGACCCATATGTGGATAGAGAAATGGATACAGAACAGGTGATTGACTTTTAGTAAACATATTCTGGGTAATACCAGTGGTCGCAATCCAGACAAGTGTGAGCTTGCTCAGTTTCTGTCACTTTTGGGAAATAAGATGGGCACAAAGCCTATAAAATACGGGGGGGGGGGGGGTTGTAGGAATCCCAATTTACTTCTGAATTATTTCTTGTGTGTATTGAATTCGGAAGCATAATAAGTAAAATCAAGGCATTTCATTGCTACAGAAACAATGAAAGCTACAGCGAGTCCATGATTGAATGCATAAAAGTTACGCTGCAGTACGTTTGAGACCATTCATATGCAGAACTATACCTATAAGGTTGGCTGTGTTTCAAGACACTGTAAAACTTAGTATTGCTAACTTGTTGCTGGTTGACTGCTAGCCAGATGCTCGGTTACTTGCTGAAGAGGAAGCCAAACGGAAGGAAGCACTACAAAAAGAAGAAGAAAGAGAAAGAAGGGAACAGATGGAAAAAGCTCATCTGAGAGGGAAACATGCCTTGAGGATGGTTCTTCTGGCACGAGTAAGCAAAGTAGAAACTTTGTGCCCCTTCAAATGAGAAGCAGTGAAATAAGACATAATTCCAAATGTATTGCATATTTAACGAATACATGGTAGAATTTTCCAACATCTCTCTAGAAAGTTCTGAAACAATTAATTATTTGAAGTTCATTCCTTTAAAATGATATTAGTGCTTATCTTTAGTCTTAAGGATTAAAGTGTATGATGATCTGTTCACTATCAAAACTGAAATATAGTTAGCTTTTAAAAAGCCATGCTGCAATAATTCAGACCTCAGGGTAGGTAAGGTTTGTCGTTTCTAACCATAAGATCGACGAAATGCAACCTCCTTAATACATGGGTGAAGAGATTGTTTTTACTGCATTGAATGCAAGTATTTCACAGTTAAACTTAAAAATATAGTTAGAAATCTTCAACATAACTAATAGTGATTATACCTGTTTACTCATGTGCATCTATATATAGTGAATTTAACATAAATAGTTCAGTATGTGTGAGTAGGACGAAGCTTGCAGAAGGGGACTTTGTTGTCTCCTCCTCCATCAGAAAGTTTTCTGGAAAATGATTTCATCTGGTATTGAGCAGTTCCTGCCTTTCTCATCAACCCCACACGCTCCTTTTCACACTGTTCAGAGTGGTCCTTTTCTAAGGGCCAGGGAAGTCCAGTTTACTCTAAGCTTCTTCCTGCTCATGGTGCTCAGGATCCAAGCCAGTGTATCAAAGAACCAATTGAAGTGTTCTGTGTTGAAAATGGTTCTAGAATCTTATCTATAAAACAATAAACTTTTAGGATCAGGAAAACAGTCTAGTATATAAGACAGTTAAAAATAAGGACCATCACCTAATATTTCAAAATGTGGGTGGTCCTTAGACCTAATTCACTAAGAAAAGCCTAGATCAGACTTCATTTAGAAATGCCAGCAGCTGGCATATAACAGCTCTTGTTCTCACTTCTCTAAAATTTGTTTAAATATGTACATTTAAATCTCTTCTAGCTTTCCACGTTAGGGATTTATTTATTGGTGCACTTTACTAATTCAGCAGACACTAGAAAGTTGAGCTATTAAGGGAGAATAATGCATGCTTGTCTTCCCAGAATACTTAATGTAATTTTAATGCACCTGATGTTATGGAGGAAGGAAATCATTAATATTTCATTTTAAGTAGCAATTAACAATATATGCCTTCCAAAATTAATACAGGAAGATCATCAAAATTGAAGCTAACGTTCCATAATGATGTATGACTAATAAAAGCCTTTCCTTAGAATAAATTGTACAGGAATAGGGCCCATTTCTCCTATTAAAAGAGACTGCAGGCTCCTTTTAAACTGTACATTTAGCACTGAACTCAAGAAAATCATTTGTACTCAAATAAATGGGTATCTTGCATTCTGCTATGCACTATGTATATAAGTGCAAGTTTTACATGCGCACGCACACAAACTGGGCAGGCTTGTAGTGTTTTCTCCTTTTCTGCTTCTCATCCTCTAGCCAGTACTCTAGGGTCCTGCCCAGTAGAACCCATTTTATGAGCCCTTCTCCAGTCATGACCCCCAAATGCCTTTTTTATTGTTTGTTTAGCTGTTTACTCCATAGATCCATGTAGTCACCAGCAATAGCCATTCCACGGATGCCCAAGCAGCACTGTGGAGTGACCATCACTGGCTTCTCAGTGCTTTTGTTGGGGGGGTGGGGGGCGGAACTGTGCATGATTTTGATTGCGATTTTGGGCCAGGGTCTTTTACAGGTATGTACTTGCAGCTGCCCAAAATGTGGAGTCGTGCCTGGCCAAGGTCCTGCGAAGTATCTGCTATCAAAGTACAAAGCAAGGCTGTATATTTGGTAATTTGGCAGCTGCGAATTACCCAATTGTCAATTGAAAAGTGAAGGAGGGTTTGCTTTGAAAGAGAGTGGCAAGTATATCTTGCTCATAGCAGTGCAGTTCTCTAGTGTTTAATTCTGACTCTGACAGCTCTCAGCTCCCTCCACATTTTCCTCACTTCTGTTTAGATTCCATTCCCTTTTGTCAAGAGTTTACTTTTCACATCTGTCAAAAGAAATGATTCTTTTAAAACCTATTTGACAAACTTGAACTTTTTTTTTAATTGTAATATATGCAGCCACGAAATCTGTGTATATATCCCAGGCAGAATTCCACATTTCAGGTAGCTGTAAGTGCACACCAGTAAAAGATGGGCACGGGGGGCATGGGCGGTGGAATATGATCTCAGTTGCACCAAACAGCTCATTCACTGCTTCCCACAACCTTGAATAGGATCAGTCTCCCGGGTTTGGAGTATAGAACAACCCATCAGGGTTCAATAGTCCCCAAAACAAGCTGTGGTTTGTTTTGTTCTTTTTACTTTTTCAAGGTGTTACTGCTTTAAATTGCTGTCCACCACTTCGATGGTTTGTACATCCTAACTGATTTTTTTATGGGGAAATACCGAAGATACAATAGTAATCATAGCAGTTGAAAAATACAGTTATGTCAAATCCATTGACTGACTTTGAGTAACAGCCTTTTAACTGATCTTTTCTCTGCCTTAAAGGACAGGGAAAAGCTAGTGAAAGAGCTTGAACAGCTGCAGAATATGGACCTCGCTCGCAGAAGACAGATTGTTGCCCAGATGCCTCCTCAGCTGTTTGAACCATCCTACAGGCGTGCAGAAATCAAGGAAGAATGGCAGCGGGAGCTGGAGTGTGCCTTTGAAGACATGTATACTGGGGACAGGAGTGAGCCTTGTTTACAACACTGCTTTTTTAACTGTGTTCTGGGGAAGCCAGAGCTTTCCTTCAGAGCTTTTTCGGAGTTCTTTAATGAAAAAAAAATCAGTAGCAGCAAAACATGCTCACCACTACTCAGTTTGAGTCAATTGTGCATGTTTTGTGTTGCACAGGGCAGCGGTGAAGTTCAGTGCTTTACATATTCTTACTGAGTACACTGGGACATCCTCTGGAAACCTCTGAAATGTAGAGGTTTTTCCATGGCACTTATTCAGGGCTTTTTCAACAGACGAATTGGTGTGGAAAGGATTGATTGATTGATTGATTTGGAACACTTATATGCCGCCCCATTCGCAAAAGCCTCGGGGCAGCTTCCAATACAAATAAATAACTATACAAATGCATTAAAAATCTGGAGACATTCCGGCATAAATATAAAAACGATAAATAAATTAACAATTAAAATAACATTTAAATAAAAAGGTCTTGGCCTGGCACCAAAAAACATAATGACGGCGCCAGGTGGACCTCTCTGGGGAGCGCATTCCATAAGTGGGGCGCCACCACAGAGAAGGCCCTCCTCGGGGTACTTACCCTCCTAATATCTTTCATGGAGGGTTCCCAGAGAAGGGCCTCTGCAGCCGATCTCAAGGGGCGGGGGGGCAGATCCTGAAGACAGGAAGTAGGAAACTACAGATTTAAATGAACATGGATATAGCCTGCCAAACATTGCTTCTTTGCATTTCCTAGCTACTTCGGCAGATCTTTCTTAGGAACTCATCCAACTTTGTGGAAAGCTCCACATCAGCATTGATTAGAAGGATGTCACCATAATGTACATTAGAAATATTTCCATTGCAGTTACTTCAATTATGTTAGGGCTACTCTGAAGTCATTTGCTTGCAACTCGGGGCCCAAGTGAATGAGCTCACATGTGATTAGTGAAGGACTTTTCTGAACAAAGCATCACAGTGGGCTATCTAGTTTCCCTGCTGCAGGTAGTGTGCTTTCTTTCTTATGCACTGGTTTAACCCATTCAAAACATATTCCAATTTGGAATCTCTTAAGCGTTTCTTAAATGAGCGGTTACAAATGTGATGGGATAAATTCTGGTAACCATGTTGTTCACATGGTGTTTGTAGTTGGCAGTTGAATGAAGCTACCATAATACTGAGATTTCCATACAGATTACCTCAGTGGTAAGAGAAATGGTTATTCTTCTGAATCTACTGTTACCATAATACAGTACCTTTCTATATATAATGATTTTTCTCCGGCACTGTGTTACGTGAATAAAACAGTGCTGTTGTGCTCATGCCCTGCTTGTGAGGTTCTTGTGGTGGACAGCTGTTTGGCCACTGTTTGAACAGAACGGCAGGCTAAGTGGATTCATCCAACGCAGCTTTTATGATGCTCTGCAAGGTCTTCTGCATAATTTCTCCATTGCTAGAATTTGCAGTACAGAATGTTGCATAGTGGTTTCACACAACTTGCTTTCTTTACACAGAAATGAAGGGAGACCTTATTTTGCACCTCGATCCACAGCCTCTGCCAACTTCTGAATATTCTCAAGATGATGAACTGGAACTCTCTCTGGAGCCAGATTCCGTTGGTGAGGTGCCACCAAGATTGGAAGATGAGGTCAAGAAGAATGAGCTGAGTGGTAAGAGGCATTTCTAAGCAAGTGTTAATATTCACAAATATGCACAAAGCTGTATGTCATTTATTGTCACTAGACAAGATTCTAAAATAATCTGAAAGCTGTCAAGCTAAGGAGGATAGCTAAGAATAGCGATGCATCAAATGGTTGTGTATAACTATTACTTTTAGGTCACTTTGTAACCTGAAGTGGAGAAATATGGAGTGCAATGGAGCAGTCAAAATCCTGGGATTTGTTACAGGGGAGTAGATGGTACAACTTTTTATTTTGGTTATAATGGGCCATTTTAAATGGTGAGAATAAAATTCAGTCAATTTGACAAAAACTTTGGACATTTTTGTAAATTTGTAGTTTATACAGTATATGTCACTAGAGTGAATGCAGGTTCATGAGTCAGGGACTTAACAGAACACACTGCAAGTGTCCTTCTGAAATAATGTGAATAGAAACTCAGTTTTATTTACATACTTGTCAAACCGCCTATTCTGTTTTGATGGTTTCTTGCTGTCATGAAGCTATCTATTGTCATAGATTTTTAATTTTTTTTATTTTTATTTGAGGAAATGAAACAGAAAAGGCACCCCAGCCTCAATCAAAACCAGCTCTTAAAAAATTGCTGAACAAGATCAGGAACCAAAAAGACCACTGGACATCAAGGTGTGAACCAGAGGTGCAAAGTGAAATTGGGACAATTGAGTCGGGAACAATTTCTAGTAGAGAGAGAAGATTGTGTGACTCAGAACCTTTTGAACAAGGTGTGTCCCTTTTCCAAAGCTAAGTGTGTTTTGTGCAACATTCTGCATTTAGGACTTGCAACTTCAGCATCTAGGATCCTTAGAACTGTGAAGTTAATTTGTGACTCCAAGGAGGATTAATAACTATTTTGAAGCAAAAGTTTCATTTGTGGCACCATAATTTGCTTCTCCCCAACATGGTGTGTGGCATAGTAGAGTAAATAGTTGAGGAACAGTGTGTATGTGTGTGTACTAGGTTCAGTCCCCTTGCATCAGCCTGAGCAGGTCTTTGGATCATGGCCACTATTATAACCTTAACAGTGGATTAACAGTGCAATCCAAAGTGGGACATGAGTGGCAGGGAGGTTCCATCACAGGGCAATCAAGATTTCTGCACCGCTGCCAGCTCACAAATGTTTAGAGTCTGATGTGGATTGGGGACAAGTTGATTTTTCTCTTGGCAGTTCTCATATCCCCCCCCTTGAAATGGGTATATCCAAAGCTGTATTGGGCAGGGAACACGGGTGCAATCACGAGTCACAAGCCGAGGTACCACTGTATAGCTGCAGACCTTTCCCCGCAGATAACTGGAGCCTTTGGGGTGGACAGCTCTCAGCTTTTGGCAGTGGACTTAGAGGCATAGAATTTATATTCAGTTTACTTTAGCAAAAGATCACAGGCTGAAGCTAATCTGTTTGGCATATTTGATGAACTGTTGGGGGTTTTACTTGGTCACTAAACCAGATAATTCTTTAGCATGCTTTGCTTCCTACTGCCACAAATTCTTGCATTTTGTTCATCAGTAAGAAAAGTTCCTCAAATGTTTCCTGTTTAACATTTGAGGAACTGTGCTTATGCTTGGAAATGTCTTCTTAAGGTTATCTAGGCATCCTTGTCTACTCTTTTATATTTACTTCTTGAGTTGAATATACTTAACTGTGGAGGTTAGGAAGTTGTGATTGTGATAAAATCTTACCCAGTTAAACATTTTCATTTTATTTTTAGTCCTTCCTTTAAGGAGCTCTGGAAAGCATACATGGGAATTATCTTATTTCTTCATAACAGTTTGAAAAAAATATAACTAGTCCAGCACTACCCAGTAAATTCTGCCTGAGCCATGATTTAAACCAAGACTTTCCAAATCATATCACAGTGGCTCTCATCTACAATTTGATGTTGCCTAAATCCCAAATTACAGTTAATCTTATCTATAGTTAATTTGAAAGAAACCAGCATAATAAATTATGGATTGAAGTCAGTTTGTTTCAATTACTTAAATGTAACCAAAGTTTATTTGGATTTTAAATTGCTCTATGGGGACATGGAGACCAAGACTCTCTGTGGCTTGTTCCCATAATACTAAACTCTGCTATAGAATTACATCTGAACAAGTCTACTGAGCAATTAAGCGACTTTCCTCTGGAATGTTCATATATACATATAACGAAGTATTGTTACAGAGATATTGGTAGAAGGCATGGTGATTCCTTCCAAAAGCTGTTAAATCTTAGTATGATAGGCTTTCCTTGGGAAGATCCGTATTATATTATCCACAGTGAAGTTCTTCATATCTTACTTTTCTGTCAGTATACCAAACAGAATGTTTACTTGTCTTATGACTATTCTATTTAAGTTACTCAGATTCTATCTGTAATCTATTACTTGTTTGTCTTTTATATGTAATTTGTGGATATAAATGTTTTAGAGCTTCCAGAAACATTGGACCAAACTATTCTTGCTGGAAATACAGTTCTAAATCATCCACAAGCAACTAAAAAGGTAGCAGAAAGACAAAACCAGGTACAGCTATGTTTAAATCTATATCAGACTGTCACTTTAATTATGCTCTTTTGTAACATATATTGCCTTTTTAACATCATCTTTGAAACATTTAACATAAATTTCAAATATCACTTTTAGCTACCATTTATACTTAACAGGATCATAATTTTTTAGTTTTGCTTGAGTTGCAGGAAGTCATGTCTCAAATGGATATATTCCATTGTAAGTTAGCACTTTTCATTTAGTAGCATGGATACTGTTAATTAAAACGGTATTTAAGTCACTAGTATCTAACTTCTCAAAAATATAGGAAATTAAATATCAGAAAATTAAGCTAATGTACCTTTAACCTTCAGTTAAGGCTGAAGGTCTGGATAATTTAAAAAAAACAGAAAAGAATTTGAGAACAAGTAATTGCTCCTCATAATGGCCTTCAGAATAGCCTTAACTCTGTTATGAGGGGTAAATGAGGGGTGAGAAGAATTGACCGCAGTATGAGGGGTGAGAAGAATTCATAGGATTCTCCTTCTTAAAAATCAAGAGTAACTGTTAGTATGAGCTTGCAACTCATACAATTTGAAAGTCATGATAGTCACAAAGCCTGGAAAGTTGAGAAGTCAAGCTTAATCAGCCAGCATAGCTTTAATTTAACTTGTTGAACATGTTGTGAACAAGCCATGGTAAGACAGACAGTCACTGCTTCACTACAATACTGTGTGTAATCGAAATTCACATGCAGTATAAAGCTTTACCATAGACATTGAGTCTTCAGCAGAAAGTGCTCTGATTTCTAGTGAAGGTTTCTTTGGAAATAGCCAAATTTACCTGTTTTGTGTGCAGTCCCATGTCAAACTTAGCAGCGAATGGTCCTCCCATCCCTCCAGGAATTGCTGTGCCCAGAAAGCTATGCAGTGAGCAGTTTGAGACTGCCGTGTACCATTTGAGACAGTTGATTCTTCCTGTCTGTAACAATTACTACTCGTTTAACTAGATGGAATGGCTAGAGCATCAAAAGCAACAGCAATTGACATTGCTTCAACAAATTGAAGAGCAGAAAATACGGCTGGAGGCTGATCTTTTGAAGGCTCAAATGCATCATCAGGAGCAAGAAGTTAAGAGAGAAAAAGAGAAAAAAGATCAAGAATCCCAGACGGAACAGATGGATGGTGTTGCCCCTGTTGTACACCTGCAGCAGGCAGTAGAACAAATGGTAAATTATACAACTTGCTATGAAAATAAGGCTGGAATTTTATTCATCTGTTTTTACATCGCTTTCTGGTCTTTTAGAAAGGCAGCCTACAGACAGACATTAGAGTATTGAAATTGGCAATAATCATGTTTCTATTGGAAATGCTTATTTAACTCTGAGCATCAGTGTCTGCATGAATGCCCCGTTTCAAACAATTAAACCTTTTGTATTCTAATCCACAAAAAGAATGTTATACAAGTGGGACTTGCAATAAAATGGTTCAGGGTTCCACCTGTCCCTTTCCAGGAAACTTTCATCCTCCCCTCAGTTTTGCCCCCCCCCCCCCCCAAACAGTAGCCACAGTAGGCAGTGTGTCAAAGCATAATTTTCTACAGGTTTTCCAAGTTCTTTAAATACCTTCACCTTTGGCATGGATGCTGCTGCTTTTGGTACTCTTGGAAAATGATGCATGGGATGAGTGAAAAGCATCTAGAACAGGTATTCATCTGACAACAAGGAAACCACAAATACTACTATTGCAGGGAGAGCTTAAAATTGCTTCCAAAAACTTTGCCACAAATTACGGTATCTTTAAAATAATGAAGAATTAATATTTCTGCCTAGTTCTTCTAAACCTGACTAGGCTTCATTGTCACTGTAAATGGAACCACCCCATTGTTTGCTCTAACATTTTGTTAAATAATATTTATACACCAAACATAATGCTTATTTTTTGAGGGGGGTTACATTGGTGAGCTATTTATGTGGGTTTTTCTCAGTTTCTTGGCATTGAATCTGGTAAGGTAAAATGTTTGGGACTGTGCAGTTCAGCATAAACTGGTCTCCTTTCCCTCAGCATGTGAACCTTAGAAATAGTAACAGAGTAACCCTTGGCTAGGTAGGGAGATACCTATAAAGCAGTGTTCACTCCCAGCTTCTTTCTGTTACATGTAAGAATCTGTTAAGTCTTTTCCACTCCATGCTGCAAGGAAGCTCTAGCTTTATTTGTGGATTTTTTTTCCAGCCCAGAACAATTATATTATAGCTATGCTAGGCTATAATTGGGGAATCACAGAGCTCAGCTTGTACTATTGGAACACATATGTGTTTGCAAATTTACTTAATTGGACATCTTTGGATGGAGCATTGTTTTGCATTCAGAAGATGAATTTTGTCAGATTTTTATCAAAACCAGATAGTCATAATATAAGCTTCCTTTAAAAATGAAAGTTGTAATTCTTAACATAGAAATACCATGTATTAAAGTGCATTGCAGTCCCTGTTCAAATCCATGTAGGTTCTCTGGATATGACTTTAGTTTGTAAGGAGAAAACATTGCATTATCATAATGTAAAAATGACAAAGGCCTTTTTCAAAAGCCACTTAAAAGTTGTAGAGTTCTTATTCATGTAGGAAATACGCTTTCTACATTTAGAACATCACTTTTTATCTGAAGGGGAGTGCTTTCTATGTAGCCCAATGTTTAAAGTAGGTCTTAGAAGAGTCTGGAAAAATTGCAGGACTTCATAGAGGACAGCAAGGAAAACAGTGGAGTAGCTTCATTTGGAAATAAAAATAGAAAATATAAAGCTCAAGTATATCAAGCTATTAGGAGCCCTGGAGGATCACCTTCCCCTCTCAACAAGCACTGTCATAAATATTGCTGGCTTTGCAACAAAAAATAATGTGCTGTACAGAGAAGCAGAGATTGCTTTTTGATGTGTTATTTAATTTCTCTTTAGTCTGAAATTCCCATAGGAACACAGGCAGTCAGCTGTTCTAAAGAAGAAGACCATATACAGATGATTCGTGACTACCAGCAGCGTCTTCTAATGCAGAACAGGTATGTCTCTCCATCAGAATTGTATTCTGGGATAGTCTCAAATTGTGTTGGTAATTGGAAAGTTGTTTTGCTAATGAAAAATAGTATCTGCTCATTTAATAAACATATACATGTATTGTTTTAGGATGCACAGAGATTCAGTCGAAGAAGCTAGAAAACATTTGCATGAGTATCAGAACAAGCTGAAGCAAAGATACCAATCCATTTCTGCAGGATTTTTAGCCCCTGCTGACAGACATGCACACCAGCATTCTATTCCTGAGCCTCAATCACAATTAGAAGGATTTAATATGTTGCAGAGACTTAATCTAATAGCAGATCAGCTGCCAAAGAAAGTTCCTATACAAGAGCCAGCTACCTATCCAGAATTACCACTGGAGCAAAAAAACAGAGAGCAAAGGCTTGGTGTTAGCAGTGAGGGAGAAGCTCAACCAGTGGGCACCCAGGAACATCAGAGGCCTTTGCAGTTCACCCAGGATTCCTGTTCACACCAAGAGAAGGAAAAACCAAGGGCAGCGGAGACACTTGCAATGCCATCATTGGAATTTCATGGGATTCCAGGATCACCAGCGCTCAAGTCAGCTGATAGCTTTGCTGTAACTCAGCCAGTAGCGCATGTACAGAATGTCCCTGCAGACAATTCTCCTGAGTCTTCAGAAATGCTCTGGTCTGATGAATTGGTGCCTCGTGCACCTCTAGTAGAAAAGAGTCTACTGCCGACATCCTTAAAGCACCAACATATACTTGCTGAGAGCAGGCTAAGAACATCTGATCAAACATGCACCCCTTCTTTGCAGTCTGTCAGTTCCTTTCCTCTGCCAGTAGTAAGTGGAGCTGGGAGAACCCAGGAGACTTTGGCATTAAAAAATGGAAGTGGATCCTTGTCTGATTTTTCTGATGTAGTGGAATTAAGGGATAGAATGCTGGCTTCCTCTGAGAGCATTCGAGCTCAGCAAAAATACTTGAAGGAACTGCAGGAGCAGCTTGATGAGCAACGGGAAGCCCTTCTATCTCGGCAGAAGATACAAGAAGACTTACTTATGAAGAAGCATGCTCAGTTGAAGCAAGAAATGGAACAACAGCAAGAGGCTTTAAAAGAGTTTCTTGAACGGGTATGCAAAAGAGGCACTTTGACTCCTTTTTTATTCAGAATGAGAGCTTCTTTCTAAGTTTCTCTTCTCAGTTCTTAATGTGAATTAAGTCCATTTCACTTCTGTAATCTGTTTTCAAGATTGCTTGATTGAAAAGAAGAAATGCACTTTTTTTGAAAATATGTACTTCTAACGTAATAACAAGCAGAAATGTTGATTTAGTCTTAAAAATATGTGCTCTTAAGCATCACCATGCAAAAGCAGTTCATTTTCTGAGGGAAAATTTAGAGTTACCATCCTTCTGCTGAAATTAAGGAATACCAATGAACTGGGGTATCTAGCAGTTATTATTGACAATGGTACTAGATTCCTGTCTCATGAGCATTGCATGCAGGCTGCAATCCTATGCAAAGCAAGGTAGTCAGCTCTGTTGAGTTTCCTGGGACTGGCTTCTGGGTGATCATGCTGGATCAGGCTATAATAAAATGTCTTTGTTTTGTATCCCATTCCTCTCTAATTCATCTGGTGTTGAACATGTTGGCATAATGTGTTTCTCTAATCAGAATTGAGCCTAAACAATTCCTACTTTTTTACCTTGCACCTTATGAACTTCAGAAAATGGAAAGTTTGCCTATATTGAAACAAACTTTTTAACTCTTTTGCCTGTCATCTTTGTGTGTATTTAACTTAATATTAATTATTTCACTCCGTGTAGACATTGAATGGATAATAAACCTGAGGAGCAAGAGGAGTCCGCTGAGTTAATTCAGTGGCCAGGCCAGTGTGCTGCAGAAGCAGCCTGTTCAGCTTACTTCCGCACTGGACCAAATACCCAAAACGTTTTATTTTCAACATTTGAAAATGTCTTTCAATGTCAGTTAATACAAAAGTTGTTTGAATCCTCAGTTCAAGAGATTTGCAGCAGTGAGAAATTACTCATTTTAAACACTTGGAGACATATCCTCATCATATAGCCAAAATGCCTTCACTGCACATCCACAGAAGAACATTCTTGCAATTCTAGTCTTTTATTCTTAGTTATTCATCATTGCTTTGTCACCCTGGGAAAGGGAACCATGATTCAGAGATAGATCTTATCCTTTACGTTTTGTCATCTCCAGTAGGAGATCGACTGCCCTAGCTCCTTTCCTGTATTGGCTGCAGTCCTGCACACATTTCCCTGGGAACAATTCTCATTAAACTGAGCAGAACATACTTCTAAGCGCACAACATTAGGATCATGCTGACCAGTCTTCTGTTCTCTTGGATAGCTATGTCTTCTTGCACTGGGAAAAGGTGCATTTATTGGTTCCTATTCATTTTTACAGGCAGGGCAGTCCAGCACATGCACAGAGCGGGCAGAGGCACAGGTGACTACCAGCTTTGATCTGTGGGCCTCACTATCTAACGAAGCAAGAGACAGAAATCAAGAAGAGGTTCCTTCTGGACATACAAGGAGCTGTGCTGAAGATAAAGTTGTATTTCAGAACATCGGTTCAGCTGAGCAGATTGGTATGGGTCTTTTACAGTGCCTTGCTTTCATCTTTTGTGAGACTTTTCTTTCCAGAATTATTCAGTTGAAGATTTGTAAGCTATTGAACAATAGGCACTAGTCATACAAGGCATGAAAATTTCACATCATTAGCATAGGTTCATATAAACCCGAACTAGTTCTGTACGCATGGCTGGAGTGTTTTGTTCTTTAATTTCTCAAACAGTAGCCCTACCCACCTGCTGTACAGCAAGGTGTTTTTGAAACGGAAGGTTTTATCTTTGCAGTGTGACACAGGTCTGAAATTCAAAGGAGAAAAATAGAAAATTTGACTGGGCATGTTTGAAATAACTTTTTAGATATAGGGTAATCATATACAAAACCTGGATGATATGTACATATTGCAGAAAGAATGGCTTGCCAAATATTTTAACAGGATCTTTTTATCCTTAGCTCAGTCTTCTTGCTTTTCCTGATGGCCTGAAATTATGCTTACTTGACAGAACCATTTCAAAACACTTGGGAAAGAGAACAAAGATGGAGACCTTCAAAACCACCTTTGGCGAAAGTAAAGCTAGGTCTTGATTTGGAACAGCATGAACTTAGTATTATTCCTGAGCTTGACACACCAAGGAGTGGCAGACTTTCCACTACAGGTATAGTGTAAAAACCTAGGGTTAATCAGCACCTCTTTCCTCCTGTACCTGTTTGCTGTATAATGAAGTCGCATTTCTGTTTGTCAGAATTGCTAATGTGTTAACAAGGGTTCAAATTGCCCTACAATTTCCTAGGCCTCCTAGAAGCAATTTGATTATAAGACTATGATTCTGAGATAGTGGTTGGGAAATCTAGTCTAGAAAGGGTCATCAGCAGCTCTTCCCCATACCGCTTCATGTAGTGTTTGCTTTGGGAAGTAATGAGGTTTATTGGATTGGACTCGTGGGTTGGCTTGCATGACTTCTGGGCGTGTCTGAGTTCTCATCTTCTTTCCCTCCCATTTTTCCGGTGGTCTTGTACCTGGTGGGAAACTGGTTATATAAGATGTGTGTGTGATAATTGTGCATTCTGGCTGGGCAACAAACAGATTTGGGTTTCAATGGTGCAGTGTGTGTGTGTTTAGGATGCATTTGTCATCCCACTGCTTCTCCCTGTATTGTCGCATTGGCTAAATATGTTGCTGAGCAAAAGCTTCAGGAGAAATAAGTCATGTTTACAATTATGTTCTCTATCAATAATATATGTGCCAGCACTTAATAGTTATTAAAAACATTGGTTTCTTGTGCAACTGTAATTACTAGTTCTCTTAAATAACTCCAATTTAGAAAAAGTTAAGAGAGACCCCCAGCCATAATCACTTCTGTAAAAAAAGTATCTTCCACTTTTAAAGAGTGGTTAGAGGGAAGCAGTAGAAATTCGTTAATAAAATAACTTGGTGAGTCTGAAGGAGCAGGTGAATAAAGCTATTTCCTAAAAGGATCCATTTTTGTTAACTCCAGCATGTGTACATTTTCTGATTGAAAACAAAAGATATCCCAGTTCTCTGTTTTAACTTGTAATAACTAGCAACTAACATTTCAGGTTGCATAGAATCTTTTACCGGAGACATTTGCCTCACTTCCAGTGCTGATAGATGGCTATCAAAGGAAGGCACAAATGAATCTCTCCATGAAGAAACAGACATACTGAGAATTACAGCTGATGACAAAGAACATGTTTCTAGTGAAAACGAAGACCAGTCACAAGGATCACGGCATGAGGCAGAATTTGGTGGCTTGCGTGACTCTGGTAAGAAGCATTATTTTTGAGGCATGAATGGTTTGTAGTAATAGTGGAGTAATAGATTTCTCATCAGATCTGGTAGGATAGTTAACAGCCCCCCAATAATAATATAAGCATGACTGTGTTTAAAAATATTTCAGATCTGCTTAATCATGCTCATTGAAAACAAAAAAGCAGAGTTGTGAGGTGGTACCCAAAGAAGTTTCTCTGCATGACTATGCACGGACTGGGTACATGGGAGCCTAGACTCAGGGAATGGAACTGTAGAGACATTTGAAGAGGTCTGTTCATCTGTGAAATTGCTATCCATTTATTAAAAGATTAATGGAACACGCCTGGCTCTTGAAAGCACTCCAGAACTGAATTACAGCTGGTATTTCCCAAGGTTGTAGCGACAAAGCATATTCACAGGATGTGTGTATTCCATTAAAATTACGGTCTGTGTAGTAGTGTAAAGCAGTTACTTCTTGATAGCTGTAAACCTGAGCAGAAATCATCAAGCAGATAGGGATCACTGAACTGAAAAAAAAATGTTGCCACTTAAAGCTCAAGCTCAAGGACCTAATGTTAATGTTTTCTTACAATGAGTGATTCTACTTTATCTTTTTATTCAGTTCACTCCAGAGAACTTACTCACATGGCTGAAAGTTTACCCAGTTATGTTGCTGATAATGGAAACAGAGTAGCTACACATCCTGATCTTTCCTTTGGACCAAATAGTATGGTTAGTCACCATTTGGGTTTAGCATACTATGCAACATGTAACATTTATTTGAAACAAACCCACTTTTCTTTTTTTCTAATCCTTGTATAACATTGTTACTTAGAAGTCTAAATGTGAGAGCTAGTCATACTTGATAATGTGCAAGGAGGGCTGAAAAGCTCTTTTCTATTTTTGTGTGTTTCCTCTAGAACTTTGCCACTTCTGTTTTTCATTGTCATTTTTTAAAGATTAAGAATGTGTTAAAGGGAATACAGCACTGCTTAATATCTATCTGAATTCCACTACCATTTTTATTTAACAACTCAGATGTAAGAGGGAGAGACAAACCTTGCCTTGTTTTAAAAAAAAAATCTGGAAAGCACGGCAGTTGAGTGGGCTCTCACATCACACTGAGCCACCTAGTGAACAAGTCACAGTGCATTGGTTGGTCCACAGCATACCAAATTGAACCTGTCTTGCCTCCCTGCACCAATTGCTGCCACTTTTCAATTTCCACTGGTTCAAAAAAAGTTTTTTTCAGTGTTTTGGGAATAAGCAAAGTGTTCTCATAATTTTTATTCTTTTTCCCTTGCCTTTTGCAAGTGCAGAAGGTCACACTTTTACCTGTCCTATATGCCTGGTCTTGCCTTGTCAGTGTCCTTGTATGAGTGCTAACTTGGAGTGTTTAACCTATATAGAAATGGACGTGAAGTAGTTGGATATGGGCTAATTTGCACAGAATTGCTAAGGACTGATAGAGAAGTAATAGTAAGAGAAAGGGGGGACCCGGTAGCACAGGTCAGAAGCAGTGAAAATGTGGAGAAGGGGAATGGATTGAGTGCACCAAAAGCTGGGAATGAGTGCAGTCACATGGCAATATGCTTTTGCTTTCATGTGTTGAACTGAGACTTTTTGATGGCTTGGTAGAAAAGGTTATTGAGGTCCGTGGCTAGAGCAGCCAAAAATTCTCTGAGTCTTGCTAGTGCCACTGCCGTCTTCCAATCCCTTGTCAGTTCTCTGCACCTTGTGCTTCTGTATGTTAAGAAATTATATCAGAGGGTATCCCAAACCCATTCACAGCCACTTTTTTTTGCGAGGGAGGGTAGTATGTATTGGTTTATTAAAAGCTTTTATATCCCGCCCTTCACTGAAAGTCTCAGGATGGTAGTCTTCAACAACTGCACAGGTAAAATGCAAACATCTGCTACAACTAAATTAGATTGGTTCTCTCCAGGACTTTACTACTGTTCTTTCACATCTGCATAATTTTATTGATCTGTCTCACTCTGTTACCTGCATGTATATCTGATAGCTAATACTGGAGAGCAATGGAAGGAAGCACCAAACAGGAAGGGGTATGGGGAGCAAAAAACAGCTGGCCACTACACAAGGAAGGAGCTTTGGGATAGGTGCAGTTAGTGCCCGAAGACATGAGGCAGCAAGAGAACTGGAGAATGAAATGAATGAGAACATGAGAATATTTTTTGTATTTTTGTATTTATTGGTAATTTATTATGTTCTATTGTATTTCAATGTATCTTATTGTGTTGTAAGCCGCCCCGAGGCTTCGGCAAGGGGCGGCATAGAAATGTTATAATAATAATAATAACAACAACAACAACAACCCAAGGGGATGTCAGCATCCAGGCTAAGCAAGCAGTAGGAGGCCGCCTTGCACACTTGCACAAGAGCCTGAAAAATGAAACACAATAAAAGTTGCAGAAGTGTTAGCTCATTCATAAGTGTTCAGAAAATTAATTCCATTAGGAGATCTGTGGAGAGAGTAGTTCCCCTTGGGAACAGTCAGCCCCAGCAGATCAGCTGCAAATGTCGGGACCAATGAAACGAGGAGTCCTTTCGTAAAAGCATGCATGGGGTGCATGCCAGGAGTCCGAGGAAGACTAAGGAAGGAGGCAAGCCACCGAGTGCCCAACCACATGCTGGGTTAATGGACAAAGAACCCATTCATGATGGCTTATTCCAGTGTGGCTTAGTGTGTTGTTCAGACTCACCCATTGTTTTTCTAATAGTTTCATGTTTTTTTTAAAATGTAGTATTTTAAAAACAGATGTATCTGTTATACATTTTAGTGTTAGGAAAGCTACATTGTGTTTTCCTTTCGTGAGTATCCCTGGAGGTGTCTTGAATTGCTTTACTGTTCCTCTGAGAGCTTCCTGTTCAGAGGCTCTGTGATGAGAAATAGCCAAATCTGAACACCAAAAAGATCAGCTGATCTATATGGTGCATGATTTGTACACTGTTCTGGGAAGCAATTCAAGCCTGATTATGAGAGTATGGTAGGTTGTGTGGCATTGTGGCATTGGTGACTGAATCTGTGAGTGGTTTGAGAGAGTGAGTGGTGTGTGTGTGTGTGTGTGTGTGTGTGTGTGTGTGTGTGAGAGAGAGAGAGAGAGAGAGAGAGAGAGAGAGAGAGAGAGAGAGAGAGAGAGAGAGAGAGAGAGGGAGGAGTTACTGAGCAATGATGAGCAATGATAAACCTTACATGTACTGACAGTTGAATATATGGAGGTTTCTACACTTGATCTGAGCTCAGAGCAAAATGACTTGTAATTTTAAGAACTTAGAATTACTGAATGTCTAAGCCTAGATTCCATATGTACTCTTGCCCTAGGTCATACTTCCTGCAGCTCAGCTTCCTGGTTCATTAAGTCCACGGACTAATTCACAACAGGTAGCCTGTGGCTATTTCTCTGCTTTGTCAGCTGTCAGCAGTATAACCAGTTACAACCCAGACAGAAGCCTTGTCAGTACAGGTAATTTTTTTACAAGTGAAAATTGGCATGAGCTCATACTATGCCTTTATATTACATGGCTGTACCCTCGATGAATGTTTGCTGATTCCTGCATACCCCACAATTCATTTTAAACTACAACAGTTCTTTCTGTTGCAGCTGGGAGCATTTACTTTCTTTACCTGAGAGGGTTTTTTATAAAGTTGTGCATCATCTGTGGCATTTATTCCAGAATCAACTTCAACTAAGGAATGGCCCAGGCATTTTAGTTCCCCAGTGAAAGAGTATGCTAATGTGTCTTGGGATTCTTCAGTCTCTCTGCTTCCCAAGTTGGATGATCCCTCAGAAACTTCTGATTCGCATCTATCTTTTGGAGTAACACTGCACTCTAATGGAAGTAAAGTTCAGCAGATCACAGACAAATATACAAGAGATTTCAGCTGGTCATCTCTTAGCAATGTATCTTCCCAAGGTAAAAAAAAAAATACTAGAAAGGGGAAGCAAAAATATTAAGAAAAAATAATTTTGTATTTGTTAAAAAAATTAGTATCTCCTAACAACCTCTTCTATTTGTTTGACAGCATAAATACCAATGCTGTTTTGCTTTTTCAGAGAATGGGCTGATGCCAGAATGCCATACAATAGGTCACCAGTTTGAAGCTACAATGTAGATTTATATTTGAAATATAATATACTTTGGGGACTGTCTCATCATGCCCAGTCTTTGCAGTTGGGACCCTCTATTGAGTGAAGTTTTCCCAGAATAACATCTTTGAAGTTGGGAAAACTTTCAGAGAGTTTGTAGGCTTTTCTTTTCCAAGGTGCATGTGATATAATTGTCAGATGCTGTGTTTGATGTGTAATATAAAATGTTTTGCTTAGCACTGAACAGGATGCCTTTTAACTCTTTTTAGATCCAGCAGGTGGACTTGATGTCACTGACCTTGAGAGAAATTTTCCGAATTTCCACCGTGAGCTTTTTCAGCCTTTGGAACCAAGTCCTGACTTTGATATATGTTCAAATCTTTCTCTGTGTAGAATCTCGCACAACAGCAAGGAACTGAGAAAGGTATTTTTTTAACATGGAGAGAAGTCCATATAAATTATGTCCATTTGCTTGCCTACATTAGAGTATATTATGAAGCTTCCTTCAAGCCAGAGCTTTCCTTAGAAGCAAAAACAATAAACTGGGGCTGTCATACTTCGGATGCGTCCTGAGAAGGCAAAACTCACTGGAGAAGACAAACATGCCAGGGAAAGTTGAAGGCAGAAGAAGAAGAAAGAAAGATCAAATATGAGATGGATTGGCTCCATAAAGGAAGCCACAACTGTGAATTTAGAAGACTGAGTGGGAGCTTTCATGGACAGCACATTTTGGAGGGCTTTCATGCATGGGGTCACCATAAGTCGAAGACAACTTGATGGCAAATAACAACAACAGCAACCCAACTTCCAGTGTTTTCCCACAGAATAAGTTGTGCTATAAAATTCTTTATGTCCAAACTGTGTTGAAGTACCTTGCAGTTTTACATCTGATACTTTGTGATTCGAGTCTGATCCACAGACAAAATTAGAATTTTTTCCTTTGTGTAAAATTAGCACAGAAGTCTACTGCAGCAAAAGAAATCCCCATATTCAGCACTCAGAGCATGTGTGCTATCCTTTTGTGCTGTTTGGAAAAATCTGTTAATAGGCAAACCTGGGCCATAACCATGCCAGAAAAAGAAAAGAAAATAGGAAAACAACCATAGAGAGGCCAGTCTGGGAGCTCCCACTTCTTCACTTGATGGGATATCAGTGGTGATACAGCTTAATTAATGTGCTGGCTTGCTTTTTTTGACAGTACTGTTCTTTGAAAGTAGAGATAGAATGTCTTATTGTTTTAATTATTATGCACCTTTGACACTCCTCTCCACGTTTTTCTCTCCTTAGAGCTTGGATTTATCTAAGAGTCATGAATTAGCAACTTCCAATTCAGAAGAAAGAACCAAGCACCTTTCATTTCTTAGCATATTAAACAATATTCTACCAACGGACCAGACTGGTGAGGAGGTAAAAGAGCAAATGCAAGGTAATTGCTTGGCTGCTTGCTCTTCATAGTTGGGAAAACTGTTCTGGTTTTTCCAGCGAGTTCCTTTTCAGCAACAAATTTTGGTGTTTTTTTAATAGAGACTGGCCCATTTCTCTTATTTTTTTATATTTAGGGTCCAGTTGGTTTGTGCTCTTCTGACTTCATTGAAACTCCAGTAACTGATTTTCTTGGTAAATCTGATTGTGATGTAACAGTTGTTAGGCTGCTTGAATAGAGATTTGATGACAGATTAGTTGTTAGCTATGTGACTCGTAATTTCGATGGTATTTGTGTCTAGGATTCAGAGTTAATCTCACTGCCTGATTAATCAGCTTCTTCACAATTTTAGGGAGGGACTAGCTAAGAAATGGAGTACAACATGCTTTCTAAGCATTAGGTCAATCTCTGGCATGTCAAGTTAAAGGATAAGGAGAACCACTTCCCCCTGAGTAGACAGTCAACTAGATGGATGGACAGGCTGCACTGTCTTCTTCCTGTATTTCTAGTATATAATTGTTCAATTCGTTGTTCAATTTCCATCGCCAGATGAAAACGTTTTTATTTTGTAGCTGTTTTCAGTATATAGTTTTAGTATATTTTTCTCACTGCTTGCTTTTTCTGTCATGTGCATTGTCTCCTGTTCCCACGTTAACTATTGTTTTTATGATATGGGATTATTTTAAAATTGCTGATTTAATTCTTTGTTTTTGTGAGCCACCTAGAGATCCCTCAGGCTGTGGGCATGCAAGTGTCATAAATATTTTTTCAACACATACTCTAAAATTCACTACTGCTTTGATCAGGTCTGATACCTCCCTATTTTTTTCAAGCAGGCACTAAAGAATTGTTTGAACATCTTCCAGTAGAATCTCCCTTTAGCAAACTTAGACTGAGTGTTGATAAATTTGGAGCTTGTAACACTGCGTCTGAGCAAAATCTTGAAATAAGCACATCTATTGGAAAAGATATGTATGTTTCTCCTGGGAGTATACAGTGCAAAGAGCTGGAAGGTGATGAGGAGAGCATCAGTCTCTGTTCTTCTACTGAAAACTTTCGTAGTTTGAGTATGGTAGATGATCACAGCTCACTTTATCAGCTGATTCCAGATCACGGTACAATGGCAAATGTTGTTGAAAGGACAGAGTCTGTGGAAGAAGACATGCAGTTAAGAGAGGAGAACCTATGCTTTGAGGAGCTACCTATGGCATCAACTGAAAGGAAGCATGATACGATTGCTGAAAATGTGTCTACGAATGGGGATGTTGGCATTGATCTCTCTCAGTGCTCTCTACATAGCGTGGGAGAGCAGAGTTCTTTAAGAGCAGAGATGATGCTGAGTTTGCCTCAAGAAATGAACTCTAAAATATTGATCAGTCCTTTGCAAAATGCTTTACCGCAGAGTGGCTGTGAGCTAGATAAGGATCAACCACCAAATTTGAATGTCAGTCAAGCTAAAACAGATTCCTGTTTGTCCCAAAGCAACATACCAGCCTGGGTGAGTGAATGAAGAGTTGCATATTAAGGAGTAAAGATACAGTTTGGACTTTTTGTTTGTACCTATTTATTTATTAATTTATTTATATTATTCAGCTAAAAAAGCTCCTGAAGCAGCTTACAAAGGTTAAGAAATGACATCCCTGCCTGTAGGCTTGCAATTTATAAGACATGACACAAAGGAAAAGGGGATTAGGAGGAAAAAATGGTAAATTCAAGCCTTTAGTTATTAGAAACCTTGCTACTCTGAAGTTTTTCAACATGCCTTGCTCAGTGTATTAATGAAGCAGAGCATTGGACTAGACCACCGAAAGACAAGACAAGTCCTATGACTTGCTTATTAACCTTTTGAAATGTCATCTGCACTAACCTTCTCAAGTTTCATTTGGGTTTTTAAATTTTTAAAAGGTTGAAATGGAGATGGAGGTAAATGTAATGATACTTCACAGGATCTTCAGTGCCACAGCAGTACTGGTATTTGTTAACATTTGTATAAATTTCATGTGCATCCAAAATATGCAGATTTGTAATGGTCTTTTTGGCTCCCAGATTTCCAGACAATGCTAAAACTATTCCTTGCTTAATTAACATTTATGCTTCATCCGAGAATTACAAAGATCCTCCTGCATTTTGGTGCCTGAATCTGCAATGGACTTGCACCTATGTCAAAGAATAGGAAAGGATGATTAATATTGTGTGTTATAACAAGGATTTGATGATTTTAACAAAAACATAGTAAATGCTTTTATATTTTAAAAATCATAATTCATCCTTGCTGGGAGCATGCAAGGCTTTTTCTGTCAAAATTTATGTAGATTACTCCCTAAGAAATTATGCTTTGCTAGAAATACAGATTTTATTTATGTGACATAATTTCCTGTAATTTATTTTCTAGAAAACACTTACAGGGAGGGGCATTATGGAAGAACCTGAATTGACTCTGATAAGCTCAAATGATGTTAGCACTGCAGAATCAGACTTTGAACCCCTTAACCAAGCAGATGCTGGACGTGAAAAATTGGGAAGCTTGTCATGTAATGACAGTTCTGAAGTTAAAAATTGTACAAAGGTAACTGTTTTGAACACAATTTCCTGGATGCACCAATATTATACTGACCAGAAGATTTGCTAACTCACAAGATGTGAGAATTTGAAAATTGTGGAATTGAAAATTGAGCATGATTTGAATCTATAGACGTTTGGGCTTTGTAAAATGTCTGTCACATCTAACAAACCAAAAGAGGAATGGAAATGGGGCTGTCTTGCTCAGTTCTCTTCTGCTGTAACTTTGTAGGGGTCATGGTTAATTGGGGTAGAAGCAAATAGAGAATGCCAGGGCAGTCTTTAGCCTAGTAGCCTAGTAGTCTTTAGCCTAGTAGTAGATACACAAGTGTATGTGTACTCAGTTGTATGTGAAGGCTAGTGGGCAGGCATTCCTGTGCTCTCCTGTGTCTAGTTACATGTGTCCAGCAAGTCAGATTGAGACTGTGGAGCCAAGAGAGGAATAGTGCTGCCAGAGATGCAACAGATCTTATGAGAGTCTTTTGCTGAAGCTTGCTGTGCCTTGACTACTTGTGGGAGGAGAGCCCCATTCACCTTCAAATCTTATCTCTCTTTCACAAATCTGGCATTTTTCGGGGCATGAGTGGGCTACCCCAGAATTTGAGGACCATTGTTGTACAGTGTCTGGCACAGACATAATGCAGAAGCAGTCCCCAGAAATCCCTGAGTGTGGGATTGAATGATTTCTACAGTCAGTTAATTTGAGAGCAGTGTCAGCTGCGGCTGCTTGTGCAGTTCTACTGGTCTGACTGCCCTATACATGCTTAGAGCAGTTCTTTGTTAAGCAATGCATTTGGATGATTGACTACTTGATTTGTATCTCAGTTCTGTCGTACTCCAATTAAAAAGTAATTTCCATTCGTTTACCTTTTTTGTTACTTTGTACGCATAGTATAGCTGGAACTGCTTCATTTAATGGCTGCTTAATACCTTTGAACTAACTAGCTTTGAGTCTACAAACAGCACATAGCTTATTAAAACCTGTTCTTTTATCAGAGCAGGGTATTTTTACCTTCACCTTCAGAAGTGGATGACTCCTTTTCCACCCATATTGACTACCCCTCAGTAACTTCCAACTGCAAAGAGGATTGGGATAAAATGACCAAACCAAGAGGTAGGTGTGCAGTAACCACATCCTTTTGAGTCCACTTTCATGTCTATGTATATACGCACCATTAACCCATTGCCCAAGTAAACTTGTTTTACTCCCTGCTTTCCTTTCTATCAAGCCTGGCCAGGATGAGCATTCACAAGCTGATTCTAGCAGTGCGAAACCTGATGCTTGAGTTGAAATCCCAGATTTTGCTGTTTTGTCAAATGCCTAAGCCTCTGGCTGATGGTAGCACCGCCAACTTTCCCTTCACTGCTGCATGTATTGGAAATGTTCCGTATGGTGATGGGTCACCAAGAGATCACTCAGCTTCTTTTTACTTTTTTGTTTCTTCCAATCATATCTCAATTTGTTGAAGATGTGTGAAAGTAGTACGACTGTGAATTTGTACTAGAAACTGCATACAAGTGTCTCAGACCTGAAGTTGCTGCAAGCAAAGATCTTACAGCTATAAATCAGACCTTGTTTTCTCCCTACACACAGCAGTATCCCCAGAGCTCATGTCTGTCCCTGGGAGTTTGCAGGAATCATTTCTGCAGAGGAAGAAGGATTTCATTGAGAGATCAACTAAACGACTGGAGAAACTCAAAAATAGAGAACAAAGTTCTGGAAAGCCTCAACCTAAGACATCCCATCAGAAAAAATCACAGCTTCATAAACCAAAAGAGAACTTATTGTCTTCTGGTAATTTTGATTGGCAAACTGAAATGTTTTCTGCTCATATTAGTATTGTTATGAGGGACATTGCTTGTTTAGAACTCTTTTAGAACATGTGGATTAAAATTGAGTTACTTCATAGTCACTTGTGGTTCAATCCAGATTGAGTCATGCATAGAGTAGACCTTTTCAAATCAACAAGAGTAAAATCAATGACTGACTTAAGTCCCATTGATTTCAGTGAGTTTGTTCTAAGCATGACTTGGTCTGGATCTAGTCTGTTTCTTAGTTTCATGCAAGCACTTAAGTAGCAGTAGAATTGCTTGTATGAATTTTCCCTATGGTGTACTAATGAATAGAGGAGAAAAAACCTTGTCCCAGGAAGCCCTTCCTCTTAACTCTACTCTTATGAGGCTAGTAATAGTTAATGTTTCCTGATTAATCCAAGGTGCAGCTGTTAGTCATATGAAGAAAGTGGAAGAAGTAAAAGTTTGCTCTGCAGATGACAGGAAGACAGCAGAAATACAAATGCACCAGCGCACGTCACGGTACAGTGCTACCCATGTTTGGCAGAAATTGAACAAATGTACTTAATTGAACTACTTAATGTTTGTTGGAAGAGAATGCCATTTTTCTTTTGAGGAATTGACTAATTTGTCATCGTCTTCTCCCAAAATAACTAGATTCACAGAATTCAGTGTGTGAACTCCAAGCCCACTGTTCTATTTCTCCCAAGTGCTTAAAGGTTTACTGCCTCTGGATTTGAAGAGTCTGTTTAGTTCTCCTGATTAATAGACATTTATAAGGGGGCTGTTCCATGATTCTGTCTAATCCTTTTAAAAAATCATTGGTTGGATCAAAATGAAGTTAGCTAGACTTTATCTGAGGGAAAAATTATTCAGAACCAAATTAATTCCAGTTAATTTCATTGAGACTGAACATGACTGACAGTCTGGATACAACCCAGAATACATACTACAACAGTTTTTTGTACAAAAGGTTTTGTGGGGCAATTGTATTCATTTTCAACATAACTGCTACTTTGTTTAATGGTATGGTCTTACCTCTGTATGAGTTCCATTGCATGATACATTCTGCATGCCCCTTATTCCAACAAACTAGAGAGAAAAGTAATTGTTTCTAAACTTTGAAAAAGCCCCAACCATTTGAATCTTCTCTCTCATAGGGAAGCTTCTCCAACTCTTGTGCCCTTCCACGGTCTTTACAGCGGTTCATTAAATGAGGCACTGAGAACTGGCAGTTGTCTTATATGTGGCTGCATCATAGATTAATGGAATGGAATTATATTACTTAATGCTCCATTTTTAGTCTCTTAACTCAAAATACTCAAGGTACCTTATTCATTGCAGGGCACACTGAAGGCCAAATTACTCTCAATTCCATTTATGCTGTTATGTAAATAGCTGTTAAAACAATAAATTGCAGGTGCTGGGGGAGCCATCTGGATCAGGATGCTGGCAAGGAGTAGAGTTCCCTTAAGCTCACATCTGTAATTTATTTTTTCAGCCGCTACCCAGCCAAGGGATAATGGTGTGAATGGCACCTATTAAAGAGCCTTCCATTGACCATCTGAGTAATTGGAAGCAATTGGGACACTTGAAGTTTTTTGCCCCTAAAATGTTCCTCACTTTGCAGAAGCACTGTACTTCATCTTCTATTTTAATGTCTAGTCATGCAGCATGGGGAAAGGTTTGTTTTAAGGACATCGATACCATAAACACCTTTCTGCTCTTTGACAGATTGTATAACAATCTAGCTGAAGTGAAAATCAGAAAGGAAGAGAAGAAGAGACAAGAAAATTATGCCAAAAACCGGGAAAAAGCAAAGGAATTTCAAAAGGTAAAATGCTTGCAAGATAACATGGGCACCACTTTCCTCTCAAATTCTATGTGGCCATAACTACACTTGTGCTTTCTGAACTGAACCCAAGATTGGTCTAGAATGTAGACATTTGTTTAAAGAATGTTCCATGTGTGAGAGTTAACTTTTTTATGCCTGACTATCTAGAAAAAAGCAGGTAGAGAGAACAAATAGTAAGAATAGAATCCACTTCCTTTTCAGAACGGTTAGCAATGTGTTGCACTTTACAGTGGTATAGGCAACAAAATACGAAAACAATATCAGTTGGCTTACCCATATTTATTTAGGAAATACATCCCATCTGTGAATATACTACAAGTAGTGCCTTAAACAAAATATAAGATGAATACTACATTATAATAGCAAAGAAAGTAAGTTAAAAGAGGCAAGAAAGAAAACAGTACCCACCAGTTAAAGCCTGTTCCAGCTTTAACTGTTACATATATATGCAGAACAAAATTCTTAGCTGCAGAAATGTTCTTTATTTTAAGTATTAGAAAAACGCAGCTCCATATGTGACTGCCAGCTTTTTCATTGCAAGGGAATCCCAAATCAAACTATAGGCACATTTGAATTGGAACTAAGCAGGGCTTGAACTTCTCATTTGTCTAAACAAGCATTGCTTATTGCAGTAACTGGGAGTTGTAATTCCTCTGAAAAGACCATCTTCTAGCCTACATGGACCCATCCTTAATTTTCACAAGTGTCTTGTTAGTGTTGGGAGCAAGAGTGATGGCGGGCTCAGGCAGGCGTTCCCACCAGATGCTTGCCATGCCAGTTTTTTCAATTCAGATTGAGAAGGGGAATATTTAGATAGGATCGAAAAGCAGGACTTTGCAGGGAATGGAGATGCCAGCAACTAGTTCAAGGACAGATGAAGGGGCAGAGGTAGAGACAGATGTTAGGAACAGTATGGAGGTACAGGAAGTGGGAGGAGCTTTTGAGACTGGGGAAGCTTAGAACAGATCAACCACTCCTCTCTGAGATAGTCCCCCCCACCCCCCTGTGGCTAGGTGGCAGTGGAGGCAGCAATAAGAAGCACAATTGGTTGAGGAGCATGTAGAAAAAAGGTGTGCACGGTTTCACATCACACCTCCCCAAGGGTCAGTCATTAGCAGGTTCATAAGGAGAGTTTTGGGAAATAATGGCTAGGTTGGGTTCAACAAACAGCTTTGTGCATGGTCAGAGACTTGAAGGGATGATTTACATGTAGAAACAATAAAGAGTTTTGCTGAGAAAAGCTTGAGGCCGATTGTCGGAGGGAGAAATGCAGCTCATGGCAGGTTGTAGGTTAGGCCACAGGTATCCAGAAGTCACACACTGAATCTGGTGACTGACCAAGGCTTTCCCCTGCCCCATTCTCCCTCTGACTCAAGTCAAAAACTCTTCTCACTTTTCCACTTTGGTCTGGTTCTAGAGGCCCACTCTTACCAGCTCAGGCCTTTCTTTTCTTTTTCTCTACAGAAAACATTGGAAAAACTACGAGCCAGAAAAGCTAAAATGAAAAGCTCATGCTAACCAGGCATCTTGTGGATGGATGAAACCTCTTCACTGTAAATTAAAAACTGCACCTCAGCAACTTGGTTAATACATGAAATGATGTACCAGACTTAGATATAATATATATTGAACTTGGATGATTTGCCTGACTATCCAAACCTGCATAGACTGACTTGGTTGTTTTTTTGCAATTATGGCTTTTTAACTGAGATGTGTTTTTTAAAGAAACATCACATACTTTTGTATTGTTATTAGAGTTATTTATAATAAATTTTAATTTACAAAAAATTAGTCTGTTCTTCATCGTGGTCTCTGCATCACACATATATGGATGCTGTGTAGTGCCTATTTTGGGGAAGATTTCAAAGCTATAGCGGGTTTTGGTGGGAATTCAGGAGAGATGATTTGTCAGTTTCCCCCGCAGCCATATTTCCCTCTGCTCTAGCAAAACAGGGAACTCAAAATTGTGGGGGAAGTGATATAGGGAGGGAGGAGAAATTTACAGACCATTTCCCCTCTGACAAAAGCTATGCCAAATCAAAGCCGTCCATCAGCAGGGGAATATACCCATTACTTCATCTGTCAAGTGGGAAGAATCAGCCACCGCAGGCCTCCATCGTTGTAATATGTGGGAAGCTTGAAGACTTCTCAGCCTTTCTTCTTCAGCCAATAGCATTAGCATAGGTCAAATATGTGAGGAAAGTAAACTTCTAGTGAGAGTTCAGTGTAAAAGAAAAGTTAGCTGCATGTGAGAATTATATAGTCTTGAATTACAACAGAGTAGGTATGCCTCTATTCAAATGTGCATAATTACATTTTTATAGTGGAAAATTTTAAAACAGTTCCTGGTTCTGTCCTTGATGTAGATGTTCCTTTTTTAGGGTTCTGGCAATGCTTATAATTAGGTTCTTGAGTTTAAACTTGAAAGACAACAGAACCAGGCTGAAAGCTTATTAAAATTTATCTTGGCATAGGACAAAGTTGTATAACAAAATTCTTTTTTCCCTGATCAGAAAGGTCATCTGTAAGCTCTGCCCCAAGTTCCTCAGAGCTCAGAGAACATCTAATATTTAAAATATAGGTGTTGTGTTTGGGAAATCAGAGTATTAGTGGTGAGAACTGGCTACCATTCCATAACTTTCCTCTCTTGATTCTTTTTGGCAACAGCACTGCACCTGTGGTCCAGAGAGGCATCAGATTCTATGAGAGTGAATGATACAAATCTCTTGCATGGCTGTGGATCCCACTCTTGTCCCGGATAAGAACAGCCAGCTATTGCTCTCTTCTACGCCATTTGCACTGCTTGCCCCATCCTCACCCAGGAACTATTCAATGAGGTCTTGGGAAACACCTTTTTAAATCTTTGTAGTGCCTGCATTTCTATTAACCAGGAAGGAAACCCATCAGGAACCAGCTTAATGTGAAAAGGTCCAGAAGTTAATGGAAACTGCTATTTGCCCTTAAGCAATCTGCAAATTAATAGAGGCAACCAAATATGAAGGCTTGTGAGGAAGCACCAAGATGTGGAGGGCCATGCTTGCTCTGGTCCTGTTCACCATAGGATGAGGCCTATCCCAGTAATAATCTCATCCCACATTCTTGACCAGCAAAAGTAGCTGGCATGAATGGACTTATGTGGATGGCAAGAACTCTGGCTAGTGCATAAATACCTCAACCTGGGCACTATGCTCATGGTCCTAAGGAGACCTGAATGGCAATTTGGTTCCTACCTCTAGCCATATGCACACTGAATTGTTTAGCTCCACTTGCAATTGGATTCAGAGTCCAAGCAAGAGGCCAGCAACCACCAGATCAGATCTTGCCTTCACTTCTAGAACTCCCAAGATCTACCAACCATAGCTTGTTTTTTTGAGTGAAACTGAGAACCTCAGAATATTCCAAGAACAGAAACATAGATCAGCAACAGATGCCCTTCTCCGGGAACCCTCTGTGAATGATATTAGGAGGGCAAGTACCCGGAGGAGGGCTTTCTCTGCGGTGGCACCCCACCTATGGAATGCGCTCCCCAGAGAGGTCCACCTGGAGCCATCGTTATTTGTTTTTCGGCGCCAGGCGAAGACCTTTTTATTAATTAAAACTTAATTGTTAATTTATTGGTTATTTATAGGATTTTAAATCTTTTAAGCCAACATGCACCGGGTTTTAATATTTTTATTGTACAATTTGTTACATTTTGGTCTTGTGAGCCGCCCCGAGGCTTTGCTGCAATGGGGGCGGCGTAAAAATGTTTTAAATAAATAAATGTCAAAACCAATCTGTACTCAGTCCTTGCACAGACCTGGTTATCCTAATGCTTCAAAGGGAAAAAGACTGACTGCTATTGTTAAACTAATAGGATCCTAGTCAAATCACAGATCAGTAGATCAGCTATAGCTTCCTAATCCTGAACTAGGTGGTTACTAAAACTTTTGACTCGAGTTAGTATAACTCGAAGCTGAATATAAGATGAGCCAAAAACCTTCAGAGTCCCTGATTTTGTTGGTTTCAGAAAGCACAAAGTAGTATCCAAATGTAGAGGAGAAAGGAATAACCGTGGTTAAGCTTTGTTTTTAAAGATTTGTTTATTGGACAGCTGCTTAATTACAATCCTATCACTGGTTAGCAAATGGCAGATGAGCTGCAATTCAGCAAAAGGAATTTAACAGTTGTTTAAAGTCAGAATATTTGATGGAAAAAGTATTGTGGTGTCCTAAGTTGTTCTTCCAGGGTTCAATACCTAGAATAGAAGCATTTTTTATGAGTTCAAAGAATTATACGAAGAATGTTAGACCAAAACTGGGACCTTCTTCTCCCTCTTGTCAAACTAATTTCTCAACAAGCTTTGAACACCTCAAGTCCCTTCTCACAGCAGTGGCTGTAAGTTACCACAGAGCCCCTTTCATGTCAAAACTGTTACACAAGGTTACTTCCAGATAAGAAACCTCAAATTTAATCAGTGGCAGCCCAAATTTCCCTGCAAAGCACCTGTTCACACACTTAACATTCATGACCGTGTCTCCTCTGGTATAGACCACAGAGCACACAAAGTACTCTTGATATCCTGCAGAGGATTTCTGTATTAGGTCATTGCGTTAAGAGCTGCTTGTTCAACAGAATACAGCCCTCTTTGAAGTGACCATTTGGTACTGAATCCCAAAGGCAAACATTTTTACCTTTAGCAGTTATCTTGCAAATTCCATTGATGATTTTGATGAAGAGCTTATTAGCTGCTGGAAAACAGGTTAAACACAGTTAACATTAAGAGAAGGAAGCTGAACTTTAAGCAGCTTGAACAGAATACAGAAGATTTGCCTGCAAGACCTCATCCATCTCATGAAGAACTCACTGTAAGGTCAGACATGGAACAATGTCTACAGGGCTCTTCAGGGTTCTTTCAAGTGCAGTTCTCTCATTAGGGCCCACCCCACCATTCATAGCTTTCATCAACTGTTTCCAACAGATTTGATGCTACCAGAGTAGCGGCACAAGAATCTGGAGGCGTTACTTTCTGGTCCCGTCCACAGCATACCAGAAATAGTTTTTCCTAGCAGCCTTGGTAGAGACCAAATTACTATCCTGAAGTTTTATACTTTTTACACTGCCATGACTTGTTGCTGTTTGGATACCATCTGTGATGGGGGGAAAGCACCTGGAAGAGTGCTTGAAATTGGATGAGTAGTTGCTGCTGTGGCTATTTATTCTATTTTACATTGGATGTGAAAGGGAAACATAGGAAACTACCATTTACTCACAACCTGGAGAAAACATTTTATTACAGTACTAGCACAGTTCTCCCTTAGGTATAAGGTCATGTAAGTAAACTTTATGGCCAAAATGGGGACTTTTCCTGATCTAAACCACTAGCTACATCCATTATAGATAAGCCAGTTTTTGGTGTTAGGAAAATTCTGTTACTATGAACCAAAGGGAGCCAGCTAGAGAAAGTTCTTAAAACTACCACAAGATCACAATTGATAGTTTGGGTCCAGAGTGTGAAATGTCTTTCTGTAAACTTCTTAATACCACCCAGCCATTCATACATTGCAACTCTTATTTTAGGTATTCTTCCACAGCATTTTATGATCAGCTTAGTCTGACTTGGCATGTTACAGTTACAATGGATACAATGGGTTTTAACATTACCTTTTGACAATCCTGGAAGATTGCAACAATATCCCTGCCTGCAGAGAAACAACAGCATTTTAGTGCCTGTTACTAAGGAGCATGACTTGGAATTACTCCATATTTAACTGTCTTGTAGTTTTATCCCACCAAACTAATACGTAGTTTAGTGGGTAAAGCGAAGCCACAAGTTTGCTCTTTGAGGCATTTCCAACGACAAGAACCTACAGCAAAGCTCCATCGGGATAGGCCTCAACATAAGGCTGCTCCGAAATTGTTAAGGACTGTAAAGTTATTATAAGTGGTTGCACTGTACTATATTAAATTTGAATTTAAAATATGATTCAATTTGGATTTCATATCAACACAATTGATAGAAGCACTATACATGCCTATAATTTAGGCATGTATAGTACTTAAGCATTTAGCACTATGCAAACAGTAAAAAAAACAAGTATAAAAATGTGACCCTCTGCTAGCAAAGGAGCAGTTGGACCTTTTCCCCATTTAAACTTGCATAGGATTGTATGCCAAGACGCAGCCTTTTTGTGGCACAGAACAGAGGGTTCTGGGGGGGGGGGGCAACCTTTTATTTTGGCAACTCTGCTCTTGAATGTACAACTATAATCACAGAGCAGCCTTCCCCAACCTGCTGCCTTCAGATCCATTGGACTGCAATTTGTCCCCGGCCTCCCTCTAGGCCATGGGTTGGCAACCCGCAGCTCCGGAGCCACACGTGGCTCTTGAATCCCTCTGCTACGGCTCCATCACTCAAAACATGCACCGGCACGGCTACCGATCTGCAACCTGCGCCGATTTAATGAACTTTTTCCCCCGGTAGGCCAACCATGGATAAATCGAAGAAAAGTTTCTGAAGAAAACTGAACGTTTAATAGTAGATTAATTTGCTTTTACCACTGACGAACTCATGGGGTTTGCTCTTTAATGCATGCAGCCCTTTAGCACTGACTTTGACTCTGCAGGAAGCTGTTCTATTCAAAATATATGAAAGGAGTCCTACTAGTTTATAATGTAAGATTAAAAATAACAGTTTTTAGTGACTGAACAAGAGCTGCAGCTAAATCATAATGAAGATATAGGTCTACTTCCTTGTTTTAAGATGATTCTTACAAAAATTCCAGCAACATTATTACACTGGGAGAGGGATGTTTGTTCAATATTTCACCGGACTATTATTTGTATTTGTTATATTGTAGAAACTCTTACTTACTGTATGAAAGTATCAGTTAGTCCTTTTTTTATTCAGGTTGACAACTGACTGCACCCTCCAGTACACGTGATAAAAGGATGAGGGCACACAGAAGCAGACAGCATTTTTGGTTTGCTGCAAGTGGATAATTTAAGTTTGGCTTTTTATTTCATAAATATGAGGAGGACTCAAATAGACATTAGTTTATTCGAAAGTAACCTTCAACCCAGCACCTTTTTTTTTTTTTTGGAGTTCAAAATGTGTTTGTTGCATGCAGAAATAAAAAATTGTTTTCTCTGTAGCAGTTCACTGATTTCATAAATGCATCACACTAGTTTTTTTATACATAGCAAAAAGGTAAAAAACAATATATGCAGTGTTATCTTCATTTTAGATGTCAAAAGGGTTTTGCGGCTCCCGATGTTTTCTTTTCTGTGGGAAATGGGTCCAAATGGCTCTTTGAGTGGTAAAGGTTGCCGACCCCTGGCCTAGGCTGAAGGATTAAGGTAAAACAAGCTTTCCTACCTCAATGCTTCCATCGCCGCTGCTGGAATAGTTTCACTGTACTTGTGCCGCATTTCTCACCTAAAGAGCCAGCTGCAGTTTACAGCCAAGTAAGAACATACATGAAGTAAGGTCATTACAAAGATGCTTTTGCAGAATCTGCTCCCCGAAGACTCCCACTCTTGCCAAATAAGCTGAAGGACAGCAATGCCCAATACTAAATCAGATGTGACTCCTGTATTTGAGCAGACTAGCATCCAGCATTTTCAAACTCTGCAAATAGAGGCAGGCTGCTAAATTAAGTTTTTCTCCTATTATTAGGCAAGGAAGAATACCAGTTTGTCTCATTCAGTGCTCCCACAGAAACATACCAGGTTTGTAGCATGTATTATAGGAGCTAGGCAGAAGGTTGAGCTCCAGTAATTTTTGACTGCAACTCTCAGCTTTCCTGATCACTAACCATGCTAGCAGGCACTTACTGGAACCAGAGTCCAACCCACCCCCCACCCCTCGCAATCTACACAGCTGCACACCTGCATGACTCAGACTGGTTAGGCAAGAGTCCCAGGCAGCTCCCCTTTACACGGCTGGTCAATCAGCGTGTTCAGAATGGCTGTTTATCATTCACTCTTTTCAGAGCAGTTGAACATCTTGCCAATCATCATAACTCCTAACCACAGCCTTCAAGTCAAACACAACTTTTAGACTAGGAAATTGATTCCAGAGTCCTTCCATTAGTAATGGTTACCTTTTCAAAGTTACGGTGTCAGCTTCTTACTGATTTATTTAGGAGACAGATGTACGTCAACTGGATTCCTTGAAAAGCAAAACAGGAAACATTCAGTGAATCTCCATTTATAGTCCTTTCTACTGCTGCATTTTTCTTCTCAAGCACAATGGGATTTGCAAGGCATCTTGCTCATATACAAGACAAACCACCATCAACTTAGATTGCCTTGTATATCAACACACATCCATCCATCACTAACCTGCACTTGACTCTTGAGAGTGAGTGGCAGAGGAGAAATGGCTCTTTTGAATAAAAAATAGGCCAGTAAAATGAACGCAAGCTAAACATGTGCACTGGGCCAAACAGAAGGTGATTCTGTTCGACACCCAGCACAGCAGTGCAGAAGGGTCTGGGGAAGTTGTAGCCCCAGTATCGATGCTGACCTCTGAGTAAGGTGCTTTCTCCATGTCCAGCACAGAAACACAGAGGACAGCTGTGGAAAAGAAATGCTCTGGTTTCTACTCTGCTCTGGGTAGCTACTCTGGTTTCTATGGTGGCAACACAGGCAGCAAAATACATTTTCTACCCTCACCTCCTAGCATGGCAAGGGCCTGGAGAAAGGAACACTCCTCCTCTTGTGGTCCCCCATCTGTTTGTTGCCTCTGGCAACTAAGTGGCTAAATACAGTTCGCCTGATGAGCTGCAAGGCCTGACCTGCATAAGCTAGACAGTCAGTCTTGCTTGGGGCAGCACTCAATGGCTCTTTCCCCACATCCATACCAGTTCTGGAAACATAATCTGATATCCTTGAATAAGTTTGCCAGTACAGTTGCCTAGGTATTCCGAGACTGAGATGCATTATTTAACTATGTCTCTATTTAGTCAATGAAGACCTCCCACTAGTTATGCTTATTACAGGTCTCATTGTCACCAATGTAATCTATCGTACAAGGATGGAAGCATAACCTGTGTTTCTGTAGCCTCGCGGTTTATTTCAGGCACAAAGTGTTATGTGCCCACAACCACCACACCAACAAGGCAGCATTTCAAGCATTTCAACTTAGTTCAACTGGCAAACACCTCCCTCCCTCCCGCTTCTATGTATATCTAATTTCCAGAATGAAAGAGAGCTTACCTTCAGACTGTAGCAGCTGTTTCTTTCACAACTGCTGCTGTGTCTTATCCTCATAAAATGGTCTGTCTTCAAGACAAGAACTTTTCACAATGTTATACTGAATCAGCCCCTGTCAGTACAATAAAGAAATCATACATAAAGACATAATTTCAGAAGAAACACTTTTTTATCATGAAGAGAGATCAAAGGGGCTGTTCCAGCTTACAATATCAAAATGTAAAGCTTCCACTGGCATATACTTAAGGGAGAACTCTGGACAGCCATCCTAGAAGGAACGACTATGCTAGAATCTAAATACTATCTTACAAACTCGTCAGCTCCCCTAGAGCTTTGGTTATGGAGAAATGCATAAGTACAGAAATACAGTAAAATTAACAAATCTTTCACTCAAGCCAGGCTTTCCCCTTCTCAACATCTTCAAGATGTGCTGGGCTAAAAGGACAGGGTGGGAGGAAGTGATAAGAAGTGTAGTCTGGATGGCACCAGGCTGAGAAATTTCAATTGATTTTTTCTTGTTTCAACAAAAATACCAGGTTTAGCAAGCACAGCAGCTTGAGAACCAACGATGCCACATGCTGAGATAATGTCGCACTGCTTTTTGAACATGCCATCAGAAATAAGGCTGCTGGATGCAGATACCATACAGTGCAGTTAGCCTTCTTCTTCTACCCGCTAAAACATCCAAAGTTGGTACAGCCCCTTACGCAGGGAAAGAATGTTAACATACCTGTCTGAGCCAATCAAGATTCTTTTTCCTCAACTTATTTCCAAGAATGCTACAAACAAAGAATTTGGAAACAGTGAGTCTGACAAATGCATATTACATGAGTATTTGAGCCTACTGCAAACTCTAGTTCCTGACCAATTCTTACGTAAGCTTCTTTCGCAATGTATTGAAGAAACACACAATGTTTTGCTAACAATTCCTATAGACTGATTAACCCAAACCAGCAAACATTACTGCCTAGCACAAATTTGGGATTTCAATGCCCCTGGATTTCAAGTACCCTGCCCCTGGAAACCTGTGATTCGAGAAAAAAGTAAAATTAATCAACTAGTACAGTATTCCTAGCCTTTTTCCCTATGGTTATGTTCCTTTCTTTAAGTATCACAGCCAATACAGATCAACTGTGGGTTGCGAAGAAGAATTTGCTCTTAGCACCTGCTCCACGGTTTTTTGTCTATAAGTTGAGCCAAAACCTGAAGCTATGCTGACAAATACGTAGAAGTGTATCACATGCATACCTATCCTTTTAGAACCTTGCAATTCTTACATTTCTCTAATGACTGACCAAAGCTGTCATGAAATCTAAGTTCCTTTTTCCTTTCCTATGGTTTAACAAATAACATTCCAATGCAAACTTACATCTTGCATAAGCCAGTCAAATCATTTTTCCTTTTCCAAGTCAAATGAAGTTCAAGATCGGTATTGCTTTTTTATGCAGCAACTCCATTTACAGCAGCAGTAGGGGGGTTTCAGCCCAGCTAGGCCATACTGCAACTTAAGCCATGTCTGACTTGTCCACAAGCCTTCAAAGTTTCCAGTTTACATCAGCAATCAGGTCAAGTTAAAGCCATGGATTTTGTTAGAAATTGTCAAGAAAGCCTGTCAAAAAGATCTCCACTTAAAACAAAAGCTAAGGCCATGTGGTACAAGTAATTAGAAAATGTGGACACCACCAAATATTGCAGCAGAGAAAAATGCTGCAAAGCATAAGCCACTGCCAGAACCTCTCTTGCTCCGCAGGTACTGGAGAATCCAGATTCTAATAAAACTGAAGGAGCCATGGGGACAGTTCTGCAGCTCATCTCAGGCAACAGCTGCAGTTGGCATATTGGTTTCAGTTTATTGTTTCAGCTTATTGTTCCAGCTTTCTCACATCTAAACATTAGATTTGAGGATAAGGTTGAGTCCAGATCAGGTAGCTGTGCCAAATGCCTAGTGTACCCAAAGTCTCCATACAAAAAGAAAACAGAAAGTTGACTAGAACAGGTACATTTCCTATAAGCTCAAAAAATTTCAAGTTAGAAGCAATTCTTGAGTCCAAAGGTATAAATGGGATGTTTCCAATCAAGAAACTTAAGTAATCTTTCTTCCTGCAATCTGGTGCCATCAACAAATGCTGTTCCCATGTGGTCTTAGAGCCCTCACTTAGAAAGGTATGGTCGAGATCACTTCATAGTTGCTGGTATGGAAAGAGAAAGACATATCAAGCATATGGCAACTTCTACATTGTGGAATTCTTGGATACAAGCAATCACTTTGTGATATTACATATCTATTTTATAATCAGGATTTGTTCAGGCAGTTTTCAAAGCAGCCCTCCCTAATCCTCCAGATGTTTTGAACAATTCTCATCAGCTCCAACCAGTAGGACCAACAGTCAGAGATAAGACCTATTGTCCAAGACATCTGAGGCACCAGGATGAGGGATGTTTGAAAGCTTTTCCTGAAAGGCCATCTTCATGTTACTTCTTTAGTGTCCGGAGACAAAGAATGCACCTCTCTCTCATTAAAAGCAACACTAGCAGCTCTGCACTCAGTTCCACTCAGAGTATTAACTTTAGTTCATTTCTGAAATCACTCAGCAGTTGAACTCAAAAAGTCATCACGTGAACTGCTGTGCAGAATCTGGGTCCAGTAAAGAACCCTATCACTTACATTTTCATGTAACATCAAGAACATGAATATGTTAGAAGTTAATTCTGATATTCATTTTCTGCAGCAGATGGAGGATATTCTTCATCTATTTCTTTGGGAATCCTACTGCCAACATAAAAGCCTATTACAGTTTTGTCAATGGAAGAAACCCATTCACAGTAAGTGCAGGGACAGAAAGAAGTTCCTTAAAAGCAGCACCTGGTAGCATGCCTAGTAACTGCCCAGCTGCTACTTTCACGAAGACCTCAACTCCACATGCTGGACATGTAGCAAAACTAGTGCTACTGGTCAGGCTTCACAGTGAAAAGAAACTTGGGGGGAAAATAGTACAGAGAACATTCATATATTAAGGTGCTGAGGATGGATCCTAACTGAAGCATGCCCTGAGAAAAATGTAATTACTTTTTAGGAAAGGGCCAGAAATACCCAATTTCAGTGGCTGGCCAAATGCAGTAGAAAGCAGGCTACATGTCAACATGCAAGTTTAAGATGCATGCATATAAATTAGCATTACTCCACTTTACTGCACAGGCTACTGCATTTCAAATTGCCCAGTTTCTTCACAATGGACTATATTGTGAAGATATAAAGGAGACAAAACCATTACCTTAACCGAGTAACAATAACACTGTGTCATTTCTGTTCTACTTTTCCACAAGCAGCTCACCACAGAACTAGTTAAATCCTGAAAAAAGAGGAGTAATTACAAAGCAAAATACTATGCAAGAATGAAAAAGAACCTGATTTAGTGAATCTTGGATGTTAATACTCCTACTTGCTTTAAGCATTTGTAAATCAGAATCAAACCTTTGTGCCCTCCAAATGTTTTGGATTACTCCTTTTCGTTATTCCTAACCATTAGTGAGGGAGGTATCTTGCAGCCTGTGATCAGAGGCTACGATCTCAGCCAACCCTTTAAGCTATCCCACATTTGGTGCTGGAAGCCAGCTTGAGCTAATGGTTCAGTTCAGATGCAATATGCAGCTATGGTTTCCTTCTATCTGAATTAACTTCAGCGTGCCTGATGTTCATACATTCTCTTTACAAAATCTGAAGAGTCTGCTTCCTGTTATGAACTACCCATTTTCCGATATACTATAGTTCCCCAAGTTTAGCTGTTTAAACTACAGCAAGCTAGTAGAAGCTCATTTTTAGACAATTATTTTTCTTTCCATACTGCCCAATATCTAAAGTTCCCTGGACCATTTACAACAGCATATGAAATACAATAAAAGTACAGCATAAAAGGTAATAGTATAAAAATTACACTAAAACAAAATTTTAAAAGCTACAATAGCTGGCACAAGTCACAAGACCTGTTAAGGAGCCGATATGATGCCTCAGAAGAATATCAAAGCTAATTAAATGCCCTGTCACAGAGGACAGTTTTAACATGGCACTGAAAAGACCATCCTTGTTCCATAAGTAAGTGACTGCCTCCTCATTGCCACCCACTGAACATCCCTTTGGAGTTGACAATCAGAGATAGGCCCCAGATCAAGAATACCATGTCCGGACAGACCACTCACCTTGTCTTCTTCTTGAACTTCTTGGGAATTTTGCTACTTAATATGAAACAGCTGTTGTCCTATAGTAGAAGAGAAACAGACACTGCATTCATTCCTAGAGGACCCAACAGGATGTTGGCATCAGAGCAATTAAGCAGATCTAATCCAACAAGTTCTATCTCAAAAACTACATATTTCCTGGGTTACCATACAGAGTGGTTTCTGTAACAAACATGTTAGTTTGTATCTTTATAATTACTACTACATTACATACCGATACTGCCCATTGGTGAAACTCTCAGGACAGTTCAGAACATTTCAAGTCACCCAGATTTCAACCAGGTCTGACCCTGCTTAGCTTCCAAGATTAGGCAGGATCAAGCACATGAGGCTATTATATAATCTGCCATATGTAATTTATGTGCAAAATTTTAAATACAGCTTTTACAGTTAAGAAAAAAATAGGCTTGAAAAGGCACAGCAACATGCCAGAACTTGTTTAGAAATATTCTGGTACATTCTCCATTCAAGGCTGCACATTCTTGAGTGAATGAATGTACCAAATTGAAGTACAGCCTTGACAAAACTTGGTCTGACTTCTAAAAGAATGCTCAAATGAAGCAGTTTGAGAAAAGCAGCTACAGGCTGGTTTGTCCTTGATAAGCAAAAATTCTAGGTGTACTGGGATACAACATCCATCCGCTCCTGCTTAACTCCTTTTGGCAACTGGATGGAACATGCAAACAAGCCAGGAAACCCCTGTCCAGATTCAATATTACACCCATCTTGCTCTAAAAAAAAGTCAGAATCTGAAGCCAAGAACTAATTCAGTAATTTTTAATGTACAAACTAGCCCAGTAAGTTATGAGTCAATGGAAGCTTACCACTACCCTGGCGCCAATTTGTTCATCAGGATTCTCACTGGGGTCATCTTCCCTGAAACACAGGAATTGCCAAGGTAAGTTCTATGTAACAATGCAAAGAAAAGCAAGAACTCCAAATGCTAATTAATACACTGCATGCGTGCGCCATTGTTTTACACCTATTCTTATGTGATCGTGAGAATACTGTAGAATTCTCTTGCTTTCACAGGACTGTGTCCCCTTCAGTACCCCTTCATGAGGGCAGTTTTAGTTATTGTCCTTCCACAATTGCAAGTATGAGAGGTATTCCCACTCACAAATTGCAGAAACACATTAGAAAAACATCTTCGCTAGTGTTTCTGAAAATCAAAACAAGCTGGAAAGGGGCATCTTCGAGTTATTTATTTATATTGCGATTTATATCCTGCCTTTTTCCTACAAAGGGCTCAAGGCAGCTTACATCATCTCTCCTCCTCCATCTTATCCCCACAACAACAACCCTGTGAGGTAGGTTGGGCTGAGAGTCTGTGACTGGCCCAAAGTCACCCAGTTGGCTCCATGGCTGAGCGGGGACTCGAACCCAGATCCTCCGAGTCCCAGTCCCATGCTCTTAACCACTACACCACACTGGCTCTCTGGGATTTGGTCACTTCTCTCACAGTATATTTAAGAAAGATACCAATCCCTGTACTATTTTTAATCCAAGTAAGTATGAAAACCCTAACTTCTGAAGTCAGTCATTTCTAAAACATTTGGAGGGTACCTGGCTGGCAAAGGCTGTGCTAAACCTGGAGTAACAGATTCCTGTCCTGGATGTCTGCTTTACCCTTCAGCAGGTGTAACAGAAAGATTCAGGACCCACAATACCTACTTTGTTTCTTGAATGGGAGAAAGAGGTCCATCATCATCCAGATATTTGTGCTTCCGTGACTCCAGACACTCATTTTCCAGTTCATCCCCAGCATTCAGCTGTGTCAGAGATTTTTTCAGGTGATGCTCATACTTAAGCATTTCAATGTATTTGAAATATCCTTTCAAAGCTGCGAGCTGAAACAGAAGAAATTTGTTCTGCCATGAACAAAATGCAGATGCAAGATGCCAGGCAATTTGTTTTAAAACCCAGCAAGACTTTTCAATTGCAATTGTTTAAATTCAGACCGCCATTCAGAAAGCCAACTGGATTAGGCATACATCTCAGCACAAGAATATGGCCTACCTCATAAAGCTCCACCATTTTTAAAGGAAGATGTTTCCTTCCATAGATTTTTTCTACAAGAGGAAATGGAAGGGGCCTCTTTTTAGGCGGATGCCTTTTCTTTTTTTTGTTGATCCGTTTTTTTGATGACTGCTTTCGTGGAGCTTTCCATCTAGCTTTATTACTTGGCCTCCATCTTTTGCAGTTCTTATCCTGCTTCCTTCGGAAGTGGTAGTCAAAGAGGGCTCTGAGGTCAATTTTAGGTTTAGGCAACTTAAACTGACCCTGTGCTTGGCGATACTTAGCTCGCTTCGCTAGAGCTGGAGCTCCCACTTTCTTTTTTGAGTGGTTCCGTGAATTCAGGTTGGACTTGGTCCTGCTGAAGCAACAAAAGCAAAGAATTACTCTTTGGAGGCATTAACATCAGAATTAATTTATCCCCATTTCCATTTCAGAGAAGTTCTTGGGGAATGTATACCAGTGCTGGACAGACCAAAGGCAAAAAGGAGGGACTAAAATTTTACAGAATACCAACATTAGAGTCCTTACTGCTAATAAGGATGTCTTAGTAGTGTTTCAATCTTTATAATGAGCAGGGGGAGACTACATAATTTCAGAGAAAATATGATGGTTGTGGGAAAGGGAGCAGGATCAGGGGGAAAAGGATACAGCCATCTAGCAAACCTGGAGGTTTCAATGTGGCTCCAAAGCCTGAGTTTCTATACCCCTGACTTATATTCTACAGCAGATTTAACAAATCATTTAAGAAACAAGCCACATTCTTGTGCACACAAGTTAGAAAGAACAGGCATTGCAAGTGCTCTGGAATAAGTCGCTTCAGTTAGGAGTGATGGCATGAGGTCTTGGCTTCAGAACTAGCAACATCTCATGAACCCTGGAAAAGTACTTGGATAACCCCACAACAATATGGACAGAATGGAATCCAGGGCAGCATCCAACACCATCCAAGTATTAAAGAAACCTGCTGTCAGCACAATAATAAGTTAGAACTTCCTAACCCTCGTCTCTGGAACAACAGGAAGGAGCTCAGTTCACCTATTCCATTCCAGAAACTACCATTTTTACTCATTTCTGGGTTCTTGTAGGAAGTGTTGGATTTCAGTTCTGTTCTAGGTACCACTAGAGCAACATAATTGGTGGAAGTGCTTGAGGAGCGCTGTATGCTACCCCTAATTTAAAGTGAATGGATAGCAAAAAAAGCTATGGCACAGACTAAAAAGAGAATTTGCTTGTTCCACCTGGATAACTAAATACTTGCGTTTTACCTTTTTTTGGATACAAGACAATTATTTCTGCTGTTCTAAATATTCAGTATAGGCCCATCTTGTGAAACATGACAATTATTTATAAAACACACGCTCACATTTCTGAAACTTGGTTGTCAGGTGAAGCACCAGCTAAGGAAGTTTTCAACTGTGCGGTATTTTCGGAGGAGCAGCCATTGTTGTGACCTTCTGAGTCTGACACGCTTTCCATTTCATCAGAATCAGCCATGTTCTGGTTCTAGTTTCTATTACTACAAAGAAGACAGAATGTGTTAATTTCATGCTAAAGTACAGTCCCAAAAGCAATTATTAAAAGCAAGAGATCTTTAGTTCCTCAAGCAAGACGCATACATCCTAAAACTCCACAGTGTTTTGGCATCAGGGAAAACTTCATTTGCTCAGTCTACAAGAACAAAAAAGGACACATAATCTACTTTTATGTAGTGATTTTTTTTACTGTTCTTCCAAGTTATTTAAATAAATCTTTTTGATTCTTTTTGTTTCCAGCTGCAGTAAGTGGCTCATCAAAGTCTTTTAGCTGAACAGAAATGTGTTCAATAATTGCTTAATAAGGCCCATTATTGTATAACACAAAGCACAAAAACTGGAGATTTCAGAGTCACAGCAGTAATCCTATTCAATACTGCATTGAAATACTAATGAAAGTCAATGATTATGAGCAGCAGAACTAATGCTATACATACAAACGTCACAAACTTGTACTCCATCAAATGTGTGTTGACAAAAATATTTTATATAAATTTCCTGTGACCGCACTGGCTCTTATCAACATGTCATGAAAAAGATGAAGGAACAACTACCCTTCTATTGCCTAGACACATCCGCAAAAACAGAGTCTGCATAATGCAAGTCAAACCACACTTTTTAGGGACCCTCAAGAAGCAGTCACATACCTGTATGTTTATAGCAGCCTTCGCCCACCTAGGTATGCTAGACAACAACTCCCAGGATCCCCCATTGTTTTAGGAAGAGCTGGCAGAAGCCAACTAAGTAGAAAACCAGTAGGCCTATACAGTCTGAATAACAAAGAATAGGGCTAGTCTAGATTCAAAACCCTACCCAGTCATGAAATGGATCTTTCACTCTCAGTCCAATCACAGGATTATTTCAGCGATAAAGCTGCAGGGAGGGGGAATTTACAACATCCTCAGCTCTTTAGAGCAGGGTGCAGGCAATCTGGCATGCTTTAGATGGCACCACCCATTTCTGACTATCGGCCATGCTGTCAGGGGATGTGAGTTGTAATTCGAAATATATGAATGACACCAGGCTACCTGCCCCTGCATTAGAAGAACAGGATTTAAGTGCAACAAAATACTAAGATACATATAAAGTCCCTACCGATTCTCTTAACCAGGGATTAGATAAGTAAAGGGTTGCTCATCAGCAGCTCAGGATCTGAGGAACTACAGCTCAGTGGTCAAGTATATATGCTTAATATACAGAAGCCCTCAGCTCTGGAAAGGAGGAACAAATTAAAGGAAAACAAGATGTGTGGATACAGGAAGCATCTTTCTCCTGCAATTTCAGGAAAAAACCTAACTCAAAAAGATGCGCGGCTGGAGTAGCAGGAGGTGAAGCACATGCAGACAAAAGGGCAGCTTATCCAAGGGCATCAGATGGAAAAAAGCCCCGGGACTTTTTGTTTCAACAGGCCGACAACGCAACACACCTTCCAGACACGCAAGGCTTCAAATGAGGCAGGTCGGGACTCCTGCCCTAGCGGGCCAACCGCTAAAACCGTTTCCAGACAAGGCCTGACAATCTCCAGTCTGAAACCCTTCAGGCCGCTGGCAGTCAGATATCACTAATAATGGCTCGGCCGAATTAATAATCCGCCTCAGTTTGGCAGCTCATCGCAACAAGATCTCGGTTTCACTACCAAACCTAGGGCTAGACTGAACTTAAATTTAGCCGCGGCACTAGCAAGTTCATGGGAAACAATGGACGGGGGAGGAAGTTAGGCGTTGGACCCCAGGACGTCTCACAAGGTTCTCAATAATCTAACTACTTCCTGCACCAACACCCTTTCTCTTTACCCAATAAGCCTTAGTCAGCGCAGAACCCCAAACATGGCAGATGCGGACGGATTTCACCCACCTGCGTCCCTTCGCCTCGCACAACAGAACAAGGCCTCGTAACCGGCGCCGGCCCGTTAAAAAGACCTGAGAAGCTCGCGAGAAACTAAGATTTCTGCGGCTGATGGGAAGAAGGGAATATAATGGTGGAACGAGCGCCATCTTGAGAGTGGCACGGGGGGGGGGGAGAAATAGCGATGATTGGCTGTCGAGCTCCAGCTGTGGGGTGATTGGAGGCTTCATAAGAGCTCGCGCTGGGAGGGGGCGCAAGTCCGACGAGGCGATTCATGCGCTGTGAGACGGTAAGTAAATGTAACAGTGCCGGCTAGTAATGCTCTTTGGTGTTGCACGGATTTGTAGATAAGTAGCTATAATTACGTGGCGATGTTATAATCCAGTATGTACTAATTCAGAAGTAAATTTCTTTGGGTGCAATGGGACTTAATGGGTTGTAGTGTGAGGTTATAACCTAGACAGCCCTACTCTTTAGAGGGCAAACGTATGCATGCTAAAATAGAGGAAAGGTCTACCATTTCCAACAGTTTTAATATTAGAGTGCAGCCCTAGGCGTCTTTGCTATTTAGGTTGCAACCCTGTGCATGTTCAAAAAGGAAAAAAGTTCCAGAACTTACAGTGTTTCACAGCTAGGTATAGCTTCACCTCCAGCTCCCGCGTTCTGGGGGGAGGCAACAGCATTCCAAAAAATGAGAATAAGCATGCAGTCACTTATATTGGTCTTTCCTAAGACATTTGGGAAAGTGGCAGTCCTGGTAATGAATTATTTTCACAGCTAGTGGCTTTTACTGCCGTCTACTGACTTGGGAGTAAGTTCTATGGAAACAGTAGCTTATTTCTGTTTACACAAATAACAGGTTTGTGCTATTAAACTGCTTACTTGACTTGGTAAGGAGCACTTTACGAATCCCCCTTCTGGCAAGGTACGTGTGTAAAGGTCATCTGTAGTGTTTCCTTTCTAATCGTGTAAGGCTCTTAAATAGAGGAGGAAAGTCCTAGAGTAAAGGGCTGGACATATAATATAGAGCACAAGTTGTTACAGCTGTGTTAAAAGCACTATAAATACAGTATCCCTACTTCCAGAGAGGTAGTTGCATTTGTTCCTGCCAAAACAACAAGGAATCTGGCTACACCTTAAGGACAAACAAACATTGTTGCATTTTTGTGGCCTGCATACTACAAAAGTTGATGTCATCATAGGCTTCTCCTTTCTGCCTTCACTGGTTGCAGATTTGCTGCTGGTAAGAGAAGGTGGCTAAAATTTAACATACTGTAATATTCCCACAGTTTTACTTGGATGCAAGTTCCACTAGTTCAATCAGACTTATTCAAATAATGGTTAAAGGCAGAGTTGCAGAGGCCAGTTCAAAAGATGGCAACGGTGCTTTCAAGAATGTGTGTACAAGACTGCAGCCATAAAGCCTAATTCTGTGTATGTTTGTTAAGAAGCAAATCTCATTCTGTTCCATGGCTTTAGGACTGTAGCTTTACATCTTCAGATTGATCCTAAACACCATAATAATTGAAGTCAGGGTATGTTCTGTGGTTGCCAATATCCAGAAGAACTGGGCAGCAAGATGAGAAGTCAAGGAAGTGGTAAAAGCCATAGAAAGACACAGGAACAAATATTCTCATATCTCCAAATGTGACTGAGCAAACTTACTGTAAAAGGCTGTGCAAACCCAGGCAGCTTCTGTTTAACTGCTAAGCCAGTGTGTTCATTAACAAGCCTGTAACCTTTTCTGGGGTGTACTCTGATCTCTGTAGTTCAGCTGTCTAGTTTGCTGCCTGAAATAAAACATGGCCAAGGTTGAGAAGTTTGCTTTTCATGTGCCTACTCTGGAAGAACTTGCTGGGGGTAAGTAAATGAGGTTTACTTAATGTTAACAAGAAATAGAGTGATCAGAAAATTGTGGTGGGCAAAAGAGGGAAGATGGAATCTCGACTTCCCTTAATTCCTTTAGGACACAATTCGGCAGGCCTGGACTGCATCTAAGGGCCCATAGATTCCCAGC